TATTTGACTAGTGCTAAAATTTCAGGATGCTTTATGACAGCTGTATGGACCAAAGCCTTGTATCCCTTCTCTTGAAGGAGCAGTTTGCAGAGGATGTGTGCAGAAGTGCCTGGTGCTCTTTTATCTCATCTGTGTAAGAATGGGCAGGCTCAGGCCTGGGCTGAAACCTGGGAATTGGAACCTCTCCTGTTTTCCTGCCTCAGACACATTGACACATTGCTTATGTGTTCCCATCTGGCACCTAGCTCTGCAGGCAGGGGAAAGTCCTGCATTGTCACAGGGTGAAGAAGTCTGCAGGTATATTCATGGAGCATCATGATTGTTACTTTTATTTTTTAAGAACAAACACAATGTCAAAAAAGAAAAAAAAAAAAACAACCAAACCGAACAACACCACACAGTTAAAAAATGGAAATGCCTGGGCTGGTTGCCCACCTTGGCAGTTTAAGCAATCTGCTTTGGATTTCAGGGTTGAATTTCTTGGGCAAAGCAAAAGATGTGGGGCAGGTAGGAAGAGGCTTTCTTTCACACTAGTGCCAACTGGATCAGGATGTAATGCTGAGCATATGATGCAGCAGGGTGCAGATGTACTTGATGCAGCGTGGCTGCATCAGTCTGCTTTATGTTCAGTAGCAGATATAGCTGAGAAGTTGAGGGCTGCTTGAGCTTTCTAAATTCAAAAGAAAGCTCTTGAACATCAAAATTGGTTTTGAGAGACTGGCAGGCAGGACACCTTGTTTCTGAATAAAAAGGAAACTGAGCACCAAGCCTTTTACCACTGTTCATGAGCTTGTTAATGGGCAGTTCTGATTCATTGTGAGTTAATTTGCAAATTGCATCAGGTTGGGTGAGAATTTGCCTGTAGTAAGATTTTGTAGCCCCGAGGGATGGCTGTTGTGTGTTCATTATCTTTAATCCCAGGAAGAGCTTGAAAGGCTAGCCTTTTCCATTTAGTATTATTGATGTTAAGTACAATGTACCTCTCCAATTTACACTGTGGCAACTGAAATGAAACAAAGTTTTGGATATCTTTGTATTTATATACTACACTTGTATCGGTTTTATAAAATTCCATAATCATAATTGTAAAAAAGTTTAAAAAAATCACTGTAACTACTATTAATCTGGAAAATTTGTTTTATGAAAATGCACAAATCACTTTGGGTGGTATGAACAGGAAAATCTCTACTAAGCAGTGGAGAGAATAAAAAGATTTTGCAAAATAAAGGCCGTCGGAAGTTTTAGTTTTGACGTAAATGCTCCCATGTTAGAGCAGTCTGGTTCCTAGGTAGACCATTGCTCAGAAAAGACCTTTTTTTCTTGAACACTTATTACTGTTTGACGTAATACAGTGGAAACATTTTGCATTCATGAGGCGCTCAAGCGGTAGCTTGAAAGGAAACATTTACTTTTTACATACGAAGTATCCTAATTCTTCAGCTCTTTCTGCATGATAAAATGAGGATGTGCTTTCAGCTTGTACAAGTGTGTCCCGCACAGCTGTATTCTGGTTAACACAAATCCTGACTCCTAGATAGAGGAGTAGTGGGCTGGCCCGCTAGAGGAATGGGCACAGCAGGAGTTGCTCTTGTTCTCTGCTCTTTAGCAGGTTCTTAGCTGTGACTGGGGCTATAGCGGGTATTTGCTGCTGTTGCTGGACAGATTGAGTGGGAGTCTTGCAATCTTGGCCTGTCTTTCTTAAATGTGTGGTTCTTGGTAGATGTGGTCACTGATGTATTTTCAGCTTTTGACAAGATTAATAGATCTATGGATCTGCTAATTGCAGGCTCCAAATTTGGCTGTTCTTTCAGCTGGGACGGTCAGGGCAGCTCTGTAGTGGGATTGCTGTTGCTCATAGGTGTCACCCTTTGTCTTCCACATGGTTCAGGTACCACCAGAGTCACTTTCCTCCCAAGCAGCTGCCAGCTGTCATCAGTTGCATGGCTGGAACAGCTGGGGTTGCCCTGGCATGGAAGTATGACTGACAAGATAGGGGAGCTTACCTGTGTGGAGCCTCACTTAGCATAGTTGGGTTTTCTTGGTGTATATTAAAATGCACTGTATTTATGTCCTCTGGTTATGGAGGATTTTGCTACCCCTCTGTCACATTTAGCTGAAATCATCCAAGGAGGTTCAGCAGTTGTGCCGAAAGGAAAGGGAATGTGTGTGCATGCTCAAGTCTAATTTCTTCAGAGAAAGTCTACCTCTCATCCAAACAGCCTTATTTAATAGAGAAGTTTTCTTTAAGTGAGCCCAATTGTTTTGGCTGACTACTTTGGCTATAATATTTGAAATTATTGACTATGTTAAGTCATGATTATTAGCTCTGACCATTAACCTCCTACAGAGCTGATTACAGGGACAGGGGTGATGAGGAAGTTTTTTATTTTTCTTCATGCTATTGTTTCAGTCTGTTTGCAGAGTAAACACAATGAGTGTGGCAGTTGATTATACTGCAGACTATCTCTTAAGGTAGAGGAGACAGATATTTCGTTTTCAAATGTGAAAACCTGAGTTTTAGGAAAAAACATGCTCTGGAGAGATGTTGGGAAGGCTCTAGGTCTATGCACCTGTGCCTTTCCAACCATCCCAGCTGTTTACAGTGTTGCTGTTTCTAGAGCATTTATCCCCTTTGCTTTGGCTTCTCCCCAAGACAATAAGATATGCACCTCTGAGAGACTGCACTCTAGTCGTTGCTTTAAGATCATCTTGGCTAAATTAGAGCAACAGAGATTGACTCCTCCCTTCCAGCATTTTTACAGATAAGCACAGCCCAAGTCATAAAAGGTATGTTTTTAAAGGTATCTTGCTGTCTGACTGTGGTGCTCATAAATCAGTTATGACTGTCGCACGGCTGTGAGCGCTCTGAGAACAAAAGGCAGTTATTGATTTAAAAGGACGATTGCTACAGGAAGAAGGGTGAGCGGGATTTTGTGCATTGCAATGGGCACCTGCCCATGTGGTGAAACAGCTCAGATTTAGCTGAAGGGGAGCTTTGTTGAGGAAAGGAGAATCCTTGCTTGGAATCATTGCCTCTGAGCCAGGGAGAATTGACTACTCCAGAGTGGAAACAGGCCCTCAGCTACCTCTGGCACAAACAGCAGGGCTGTTGCAAATCTGATTTGAGTTTCTAACAATAAGGTATTGAAGAGGCAGGTAGACCTAGCAGTTGCCTCTGTGTTTCCTTAGGCTCCTAATTTATGCTCAGCTACACTTGCTGAAGCAAACCCGTAACAACACAAATGTATATGTGAAAACAAGAGGGACAAAAATCTTCAGCCAAAGGCCAGGCAGAAGTGTTGTCGAAAACAAAAAAAACCAAACAACAAAAAAAGGCAGTTTCCAAAAATCCAGTTACTTTATATGAAAGAAAAATAGAACCGGTACTGTAATTGGTTGTATTTTCTGATATGAAGCTATGAAATGCTCTCTTCCCCCACAGAGCTCATAAAATTGTGCTCTGTGTACCAGGTGGACTATTTTGTTTTTCATTAAATAAAGAAACTTGTAAACAGTGCTCTGTACCATAGAGATGATAATCTCCACCATCCTCCTCTTCTTCCTTAAGCACTGGAGCATGCACTTCGCAGGTTGGACTGGCACCACAGCAGAGTTCTGGTGATACCCCAAACTTCTGCTGGTCACTGAAGTTTGGGGCCCAGGCAAGGCATGCTCCAAGCATCTGAGAGCATTTACTGTGTGGGTTTAATTGTGCATTTATCAAATCCTATTTCAGAAAACAAATAGAAGTCTTGTTTGCACAGTTTAAATGCCACTCTCTGTGCAGTAGCAGCAGTTGGTTGAGTTAGATCTGTGGAGCTGGCACTCCACAGGTAAGGCAGAAAAGAAGGAGGAGGCTGACTACTAAACTGGCTTTTATGTGGAAGATGGCAAAAAGTGTTTTATGAAGGTCACCAGGAATAACTACTAGTTTTACCAGTTAAGTCGGTGTATTTAGTTATACTACCATATCTGCAACTTTTGCATTTGTAAGGTGTAATGTTAAAAGTTTCATTGTCGTAATTCTAAGTTGAGCCACAATTCTTGACCGTGCTCTTGTAACACCCGTGAAGCACCATGCTCCTCACTTCACTATTTCCCATGCCTAATCTGTTTGCCTACTATCTTATGTAATAGGCCTGCAACTTTTTTTTTTTTCTTATACAGTTCTTTTATCAATAAGTTTATTGAACATTTTGCAAAAGCAGGTACTATTATCTTCATTTATATTTCCATTATACTGGAAATCTCAGCTGTAGCTGTGGTGCAGCAGCTTCTTATGCAGTATACATGGGCACTGGCCAGTTTGTACAACTTTCAGGCTGGAGGAAACTGCTTTGGCTGCAAATGCCACTCACTAATGGTCTTGTGTGTGTTACCATGGGTTTATAATTAGATGCAGTGAGTGATAAAGTGTGCATGGAGACCAAATATATTTACTTCTGTTCTATCCACTGGACCTATTGCACATGTACTGTTACAGAAAACTTCTCTGAAATTGCTGACAAGTTGCATTCTAAAAGCAGAGAATAGCTTAATTTTAAGGTGTACCCACTTAACAAATACTGAACTATACTCTGTTTAGGTGAACTCTAAATTAGTATTAGATGCTTTTTCTTGTTTTCCATTCATGTTTCCTTATGTCAGTTAAATGTTGGATTTTTTTCCCTAATCAAGTGTGCACATAGCAAGAATACTGGGGCAAAATATTCTTATATTGTTGCTTCATTTTTTTCCAAATAGGTCTAAAATATTTTTGTAGCTCTAGCTGTATATTAGTAAAAATACACTTGAAGTATTATCTCAAGGTCTGCACGCATTTAGATTTTTTTTAAGGACTGAAGATAGCTAATACTGATAAATATTTGTCACCAAGTGTAAAACAGAGATGCTTGCTTGATGTAATCATGTAACTATTGAGCTATTTGATGTTCTTTACCATGCCTTGTGAATAAAGTAATCCCTTCTGGATCACAATTTTATTCTTCCTGTCTATGCAGTAACAAGCGACTTGTGGCCTTAGTGCCAAATGACACTTCATTCAACACCAGACGAGCCTACACCAGTGAAGATGAAGCCTGGAAGTCGTATTTGGAGAATCCCCTAACAGCAGCTACCAAGGCTATGATGAGCATAAATGGTGATGAGGACAGTGCTGCTGCTCTTGGCCTATTGTATGACTATTATAAAGTAGGTAATTCTGTCATTATCCCTCCCTGCTGCAATAGCAGGGACCACTCTAAGAGGCATCAAAAAAGACAGTTTTCTAGGAGAGAAGTCACTGCATCTAATGCACTCTAATGTTTCCATCATGCACCCATTCTGTTATTGGAAGCCTGTCTGAAACAGTTTTGATGTATTTAATTCTGGAGAGAAAAAAAATCTCAGAATTCCCATATTAAATTTTATACCATGTTTTCTTTTTGAGCATAGTGTTCTTCCTTTGCAAGAACATTGGATGATACTTGAAATACTGAAGTGTAAAAGGGGAGGCCTTGTCTATCTGTATGTTTGTCTGCTTTTCTGGTTCATTCCACACATGTTTTAGTTTGCTCTTTAACTAGGGTATCTCTCATCTGACAATTTCCCATGTTATTTTTGTTTGTATAATGATTGCAGTCGGCTGTATACAAACATACAGTGAGGGCTAGCCCTTGCACTGGCAGTTTAATGGACACCGAGCCAGAGATCTAAGTCAATTTACAGGAAAAGCACTAATGTAGTTTCAGTTTGTCATGTTCTAAACCCAGGGCTTTACATGCAATTTTGGTAACTTTTTTTTTAATATATATATTTCATCATGTTTAAGTAAAGCTATGTTTGAGATTTTTGCTGAAATCAGAGGAGAGTCCTAGAGAATGCATCTCTTTGTAAAGCAAAATTGTCATTTGGAAACCCATGCTGACCCTTTGGTACTCTGCAAACAGAATCAGTGTTGCCTGCCAAGCACTAGAGTATGAATTAGTTATAGTGAAATGAACAATCTCCATTCCCCTGAAGTCAGCTATGGCTGCCTTGGACATATGATCTTCTGTGAAAGCCAGCACAGCAATGTCAGGTCTCCTTGTAATTCATGAAGAAGTAACAGGAATGGGACTTAAAAACCTTTGCTTTTAGTATGTATTAGTATAAATGCTTTTAATGAAAGGACTTAACTTTTTAATCTCTGTGATATTGAGTGTTCAGGAGAAGGGGTTGTAGGGAAGATGCCATATACCAACCTTACGGTTAAATATTAATTGCTTTGCTGATTATATTCCTTGCTTTTGTGTGTTGTCAGTAGAGAAAACTGTTCCCAGTGAGAAAGAAAAAAGGTCCTTTTCTCTGCTTGACATAGTTACCACAGTGCCAGAGTCTGTGAAACTAATATAGATTCATAAAATTCAGGATGTGTATGAGCATCTAGAGTATTGGCTTCTGTCTTAGTAGTACCTTTGTATGTAGCCATTCATTAATATGATGGATTTTTGTAAAAAAACCAGAAAATAGCCCTTTTCCTTTTCAAAACCATGTTCTAAAAGACATATCTACTCTTTGTTCCAGGCAGTTGCTAAAACTTTGGGTTCAGATGGAATAAGGTGGGATTAACGTCTCAAAACCATTTCCAGCATTCAATCATAATCTATTTTTGTCTTAAATAGGGAAGAAATGATAACTCTTATTGATGCTCCCAAACACAAACTTAAAACTTAACCTCTGTGCTGTAATGGGGAAGTGCAGAGGACTTCCAATGCACCAGACTCTTGAATTGTCCTTATTTTTAATCTGGCTTATTAGTTCTGACATGCTGGGTAATATTTTTGAATTACTTTTTCCAGTCAATAGGAATTATTTGAATTTAATTGTTTGTTTTTTTCTTGGAGTGATATTTACCTAAACATAGACCCTCATTCAGAGAAAAATATATAATCTGAAAAGGGGAATCAACATATGTAAACTGTAGCTTTTATCCCAGTTAAAAAAAAAAAAAATAGGTTTTTTAGGCAGAAGGATGCTTAATAGGGAAAGGGGATGTCCCTAAAAGACAGAATGACTCTGGATAGAACTCTGGGACTGTGCTGCTGTCTTGCAGTTATTGTTGATGTTAACATTGACTACTGGAGTGCACTGTAATACTGTTTTTCCTCTAAAGTCAGATATTTTTCTGATGTTTCCTTAAAATATTTAATAGTAAAAAGCACAGCTTTAGCCCATTCTTAGGTCTAATCTTGCTTTTTAATCCTGAATTAATTGCTGCGATGGAGTGGATATGTCTTTTGCAAAAGATAGATTAGAAGTTTTAGCTCCCAAAATAATGGCTCAGCAAGAAAAGAAAATATGGTCATAGGAACTTCACCCTTGGTGATTTCATATCTGTGCTGGTGTCAGAACACTGGTATGTAGGAGTACAAATCTTTAAAGTTGCTTGGTGTCAGTTCTGAGTTTGTCAAGGGGCCAGATTTGACTAGGTTTTTATACCTCTCATAGCTATTGATGCAGTGAGCAAAGCAGAAGTCAGTGTTTCTGATGACATACCAGCATGCCTTGACCTGTCCCCATACTAAAAGATCCACAACCTTCCTGCACTCCAGGCTTCTCTCTAACAGGAGGACTTACCTAGTGCTTATGTTTTAATTGAAAAGCCTTTTTTGTCTGAACTAAAATGGTCTCGGGGCAGAACTCATCAAAGCATTGTATCTTCCTTCTCATCTTGTTTTTTTCAGTGAAAGTGTGTGTGTATTTTTGGAATAATATGATCTTTGGTTTTGAGGTAGCTTGGCCTAGCTTGATATTCAAAAGACAGGACATGAAGAAGATTGCTTTGTTCCTAACTGGTGTGCCCAAGAACTGGAAAAGAAAACAATTCCTTTATTTTTTGTCTTTGGAAATTTTCTTTCTGTTCACAGTCAGTCTCCCAAAGAAAAAGCTCCTAGCAATCTTTGAGCTAGACAACACAGATAGTTACATTTTTCTAGTTGTTACAGTACAGCAGTCTGAAGCTGCAAATGCATGACAGTTGCATTTACCTGACCCCATGCCTGGTGTTGTTCTCAGGTTCCCAGAGATAAAAGGCTGTTGTCTGTTAACAAAGTGAGTGATAATCAAGAAGACCAAGATAAAAGGTACAGTATTATTCAAAATCATACACCCAGCTACTTCAAGTGTTGATCAGTTGTGAACTGGAACTGTGAGAGCCTGAGGGGTTTATGGTTTTCTTTCAGAAGTTAAAAGAATGAAGGTTGTTTTGGGAAGCACCTTTTACTCCTTTTTACTTTCAATTGATTAGAAAAAATGGATAGTATTCTCAAACATGCAGTTTGGGAGGTAGCTGAGAGTTTCACTCTTTGTTTCTTGGTGGTGTTGTGCTGCAGAGATTAGTAAAATCAGATTATCTTGACAGTTGTCTGTTTTTCTTTGTTGTAGGGCCAAAAGTGAGTAGTTTGGCCTCAGTAATCTCATTTATAGATTTATTTAACATAATTTAGGATTTGCCCAGCAAATAAAGTAGCTCTTAAAATTATTTGCTCAGAATATTTTGCTCGCTCCTCTCAGATTTCAGTTTTTCTCTGTAGGCTAAAAGTGACTTCAGTCAAAGGAAGCTGCCTCCTACTATTATGACCTGCAGAAAAGAAAGTGTATATTTTTGTAGAAACAAAGAAGTTTTTACATATGGGAAGGTATCTTCATATAAAATTATGACAGAGATGAGCTACGCAAGATTTATTTCAATGTAACTAATTTGTGACAGCCTCAGCTGGTCTCCACTAGCTGCTCATAAGGTGATTGTTTCAATAGGTAGTAATATAAATTTACTGTTTCAAAATAAGCTATGAAATATTTTTTGGACAGTTTTTCTTTTACAAACCAGAGAAATTCCTGATGTTCAGTTCCTGAATTAAGTGTGATTGGTGAAACTGGCCTACAGTGGAAAGCTAAGAGAAACTGGGCACTAGGTAGTGTCACAGCATTTCTCCTGGGTTGAAAACGAAGCAATGTTATGCCTACTAGAAGTTCTATGAGTTAGCAATTTTATGTCAGTATAACTGCTACAAGCAATCAGATCGCTTTCAACAGCAACTGAGGGTAGCTGTGGGAATGCTGCTGAGGTTACCTTGTAGCCACTATAGTTACTGATCTACTCTGCTACAATGGAATTCCTGGGCTTGATCTTTTAGAATAGCATTGCTACCAGAGTTAAGCAAATAATAGTGGCCTGAGAGCATGCCATCTCCATATGAATTTTGCTGTTGATATTCTGCCTATTTCATGTGCAAAATATCTACTGTGAGTAATCCATGTCCTGCCTTACTCTTTATTCTTATTTTGTGTCTAAAGATTGTTGTACTGCTGGATTGATTTTGCATCCAAATTATAAGCTAAGGCAAGAGCAATCCTGGATACCCAGAATTTATTGTAACAAGTCAAATCAAATCATTGTCTTTCCCCATTTGTTAAAGAGTCTGGACCTCTCTGCTTGCCTCACAGTTTCTTTTTTTTTTTTTTCCTATTTGTTAATGTATTACTTCTTATGGCAGTGTCTTATCAGAATTGAAAAATCTTCTTCCCTGACATTTAAGACCATTAAGCTATTTAAGGAGATTTCCTCTATCAGGACAGTTTATAAATTTTTTTGGTTTGTCTCACAGAAATTGTCTTAATACCACGGAAGCTCAGAATAACTTAAGTGGGGGAGAGAACCGTGTGCAAGTCCTGAAGACAGTGCCCGTTAACCTTTCATTGAACCAAGATCCTTTGGAGTCATCCAAAAGGGAATACAACACAAATGTGTCTGGGAGCTCAACACCCATCACAGGGTCAGCAGTGACTGTGGTTAAAGCAGAGGAATTCACCCCTGTTTTTATGACCCCACAAACACACTATGCAAGAGGAGAAAATGAGGAGCACCGGGGTGTTATCTTTGAGCCATACGAAGTGTCCAACATTGCTCCCCACACAAATTATCTTAAAGATGATCAGCGCAGTACTCCTGACAGTACCTACAGCGACACCTTCAAAGATGGAGGAACAGAAGTAAGTTTTCCACCTCAAATTAGCATCTAAGAATGCAATAAAAAGCTGTAAACAAGATAAGGATATTTGAGCTTGTAAACAAGATAAGGAGATTTGAACTGTCCACGAGAGCCATTAGAAGAATAGTGATGCTTGTTTCAACAAATTAATTTCTACTCCTTGCTGTGTTCCCATCAGTCTGTGCTCTGATTAAAGGGGAGCATCATGAGACGTTTCAGAAGACAATTTTAAAGTTGTTTATTGAAAATTCTGAGAATAATAAATACAGATTTTTTTTGTCTTTGGGGTATTGTGTTATTCTGAAAGAAGATTGATTTACCATTAACAAGATCTGCCTTCAGAATAGCAAGAAATAGCGACTTTGTAACAGGGAAATTCTAGATGTTCTTTTGAAAATGCAAATGAGTAGCAACAGCCTCTGCTGCTGGATAAACCCAAGTAATTTCAGAAGCTGTTTGTTGCATGAAGCTCTATTCTGCAACACAAGTAAGTGAGAAAAAGTAGCAGAATTAGACTAATAGAGGGGAACAGAGAATTCAACAGGCAAGGAACAACTGCATGTATGTGTACACGAATGAGAAGAAAAAAGGCAAGGAGAACTCCTAACTATTTTACAGTTATGCTACTGTCAAAGTAGTTTTACATCAACTTTTTTATAGTGAGTACCCTCTGGCTGCTTTTGCCTGCTGCAGAATAAGGCAGACAAGCTGGAATTGTAGATCAGTGAGGACAATTTAAAGCTGATAGTACCTCTGCAAATAATTAAAGATATTAGATGGTAAAACTCCCCTAGGGTTTTTCTCCTCCCAACTTTACAAAATTGTAAACATAACAAAAGTACAAGACAAGCTACATTAAGGTTGAGCTGCCTAGATTTACTGCATGAGAAATTTACTGTGTGTTTGTGTATGTGTATTATGGAAAAGTACATTGCCTCCATGAGTGACACAGATCCAGGATATCTGGAGGTGAAATCTTTTCAGATACAGAACACATGTAGGTCAACTAAGTGAATAAATAATGAAGAAATCTAGCTTCCCATTGTAAAATCAGTAGGATCAAACCTTGGATTAGAGACACTGCTCTGCATTATCAAGTAATATTAATTGGGCAATTTTTGTGTTACTGGTCAATGGCTCTTATGGTACCATGCTCTTGGCTTTCCCTGGGGTGCTGTAGCAGAGTGACTCCATTCCATTTGTTTGTTCTGGGACATGCTCCTGAGAGGTTCCCAAACAGTCAATCTGCCCTGTGGAGAGAGTTGTCAAACATGCAAACTTGTTAAATTTGGACATAAATAGGAACTTAACATCTATATGTTGTTACATGATTCTGTGTTACAGTGATTTTGTTACAATGGTTGTATATTGTTACAAGTTTTTAAAATGTCTGGTTAATAACAGGGTACAGTACTTGTCATCTAGGATTTCTCTACAGTCTGTGGAGAGAGAATCTGTTCAACTCCACTTGCCAAAACTGGCTGTAGTGGTTTTCTAAGTACACTCACTCCTCTCCATCTTCACATCCCCTATTAATTCTACAAGGGACACTGGACAATAAATTTTATGTCCCCAGCCATAGTTGTTAGGGGAGATGTGTGCCACTGTTGGTGGCCTTCCAGCTGCAAGTGTTCTCATGCATGTGGCATGGGAGCAGTCAGAGCTTTGCCACCCTGCTGTAGCCTTACTGAACACTGGGTCTGCCTCTGTTTTTCTCAACTGCCCAAACCCCAGGATGTGCTTAGCCTGTGTTCCAACTGCTCCACCAGCCACTGTTGTGTAGGCACAGCTGGATGGAGCAGGTGTGGGGAAACCATAATGTAAAATGCCAGAACATGCCAAAAGAAACTTAGGCAAAGTTAGTGTTTAGAAGTAGGAAGACAGTTGTTCTTACTAGTTTTCATAAGTGCTTGCAAAGTATTCCTTAAGTATTGGTGAGAATGAGTGGGTTTGGATTTGTTCTAATACTTAGTTAATTGTCAAACACATTATAAATACATATTTAGGAATGGGTTTAAAACATTTATGGGGTTATAGTTGTCTTCTACTGAAGGAGTGCTGAGTTTATAGGTCCCTATGGTAGTGGACACTTTGGTCAATTGCTTGCTGTGTTCTTCGTTACAATTTTAACAATTATAAATATACTGTTCTAATCTCTTATTTTCTTGTTTAGCTGTGCTTAGTTTGTTAGCTCTTTATAGTATAAACAAATTCTTTGAGGTTAGGTAAGTAAATTGTATGTTTTTTACAATGTCTACCTCTAACCTTTGTATAAAATGTGATTAGCTTATTAATATCCACAGCGGTTTTTAGGTATTTGGAGTTTTAAATAGTTGATGTTTTCCTCTGAGTTATCTTTAAACCTAGTTGCAGTTTTGTTGGTATTTGAATTTTGATTTTATCAAACAGTATTTAATTGCTCTTATTTTTCAGAAGTATCGGAGTGTGTCAGTGGGGGCTGAAGAATATATTTATGAACAAACAAGGTATGGCATAAGCTTTGCAATGTGTTGGCTGGCATCAGGCAGGAATGTATTGAGCAGTAGCTGCCTGTGTCCACTTCCCACCCTTCCTTTCTTCACCCTGGGGTACCTGCAGGCCTCCCTTGATGCTGCCAAGCATGTCTCCTCTAATTCTCCTGCTCATGCTAGCTCTCAGATCTGGCCAGTTTATATCTTCATCTATTGCCTTCCCTCAGCATTGCTTTAAACTTGTAATTCCTCTGAAGCCTCCTGCCCAAGATATGAAAGATGAAAACTTTTGAGAGGTTCCCCAGGTAAAAGAGCATAGCTTTGACAATCAGGTCATGAAAAATCTTTTCAGGATGGCAAAATGCACAAGTCAAATGTCCAGAACAGTTGAAAAGCTTCAAGAGAAAGCTTTAAAAATTAAAGTTTGAAAAGAATACCATTCTGTCTAAGCACAGAAGAATGTGTATGTAAAGTGGGCAAACACTACAGAGTCCCTTTATCTAGGAAAGATTGTAATCACTAAAGATTTAAACTGATGCTTTATTTCATCCATGTGAATGGTTCTATTTATATCTGAGAGATTACTCTCACTTTAGAATCAGGGACATGCCTACATAGTTTTTGTGGATTAGGCATATGACTGGGACTGTGGTGAAGGTTCCTTACAACTTGATATTTTTTCTGAAGAATGTTAAACAATCATTAACTGCAGTGAGCTCAGAACTGAGTCATTATATAGGCAGAAGATAGGAAAATTATATTTAGCAAAGGCTGCTCACTTACTACACTGAACATTTGTAACATTGAATCTTGAAGCATTGGTATTGTTAAAAATTCCCACACTCTTAATTCTTTCATGCTACAGCCCAGGTTACATTAAGAATGAAACCTCTGAATGCACATTAAGAAAACTCCTGGGAAATATGTATTTGGTCTACCTGGAAGTGGAAGGCTCAGAAATGAGAATTTCAGATTGAAAAAAGAAGTGGTAAATATGCAAGTAATTGGAAGTTTGCTAGAAGATCTCTTAGTGACTACACAGGGGTTTAGTTGAGACTCATGGTGAAGTTCATAATAGTATTGTAATAATTGAGTGACTGCAATAAGTTTTTAAGAGTGAGAGTAATCCTCCTGCTATAGGGCATGCTTTGCTTGCCAACTGGAAACAAGAAGAAAACTCTCAAATGATGCTACACAGAGGCTCCAAAACTGGCCAAGTGGAATGTGTTTGGGATTTACATTTTTTTACCGGAACATATAGAATGCTAGGGAACGGAAGACCAGCCTGTGGCAGACTGTAGGAGTTCTGTTAAGACATTGTGTGTGTCTGACTTTGATCATTCTAAGCCCTTCTGAGCACACATCCTTGTTAGTTCTTCTGTCTGGTGTGAGGTTTTGAGGCAGATCTCTCAGGGCACTCAGTGTGCTTTAATGTGTGTCATAAGTGGTCTTGGGCACCCTATCTGCAATCCCTATGTGTGATGCTAAATCAAGGCTGTGCCCCTACCTCTGTGGTGGTCCATCTGTAGGACAAGTGTTGCAGCAGGATGGATGCTGGTTCTGCAGCCCTGGTGGTATAGCTCTAATCCGCTCAGACGGGTCCACACTTCCCAGTGCCTCTGTTCCCCTTGCACACAGGACAGGGGCTGTGCCAGCACATGCCACAGCAGAGGGGACGGCGGTGCCCTTGTGCTGCCCTCCTGCTGCATGCAAGAGCCTTCATGGTGGCAGCAGCTGCTTTGTGTGGAAGCAGCAGCATTGCCATCGGTGGGTTGATAGGTATAGATGAGTCTTTGCTTATTACCTTAGTTTTGCTTTTATTTGTAACTTTTAACCAACTAGAAAAATGACTGGATTTCAATTTATAAGCTAAGAAGGACTTACAAGTTCTCTTCATTTGATTGAATGTTTGCAACCAAACTGAAAAATTGATACTAAGCTGTCTGAAACTCCTTTTGGATGGAAGACTAGATCTCTTGTGTTTTTTCCTACCTTCTCTTCAAGTGGGGATTTAAATATAATTATTAGTTACGTGTTTTGTTGTGGTTTTTTTTTCCACTGAATAGTTAAAATATCTTTTGCATTCCCTTTATTTCTATATTGCTGTGGCAGTACTGTGATGATCTAGAGTATTTGCTTGAATTAGAAAGTTAAGGATACACTGTTATTTTGGACCAACATATTCCTCCTTTTGGTTCTGTTCTGGCACTGCTTAAACACTTTGCTGAATAAGAGCCTTTGTGAAAATGCTTCCACTATATCTCCAGTTCATGAGGACTTTGCATTAAGGTTCCAGTGCAGTTTGAGGTTTTTGTTTGGTTTTTTTTTTTTTTTTTTTTAAGAAACTGTGAGGAGCTGCAGGCATCATTTTTATTGGATTATTGTTCAAGACCACTATTGGAGGTGGTGGCTGGAGGCTCAGTGAGAAGTGTTTCCAGCTACCAGTTCACTAGTTAATGGAGCCTTAACTGTTCATGCTTTGAAGTTGGAAAATTCTTCTGTGAAGGAGGGTCTTTTTAAGATCGAAAATTTCAACACAAGAGCTGTTTTCCCCTGATATTTTTCTAAAGGGAAGTTACTTGATTGAAGATAAAGCTAAATGTAGGTACTTCATTCAGTCTGACTAATTTTGAAAAGAAAGCTTATAAAAACCTTGATTTGCATGTTGTCTATAAACAATTGAACTTGCTTCTCTTTGTATTCCATCTTGGAACTGTGCTGAAAGTAGCAGTAGGACTTTCCATTCTCTGCATCCATCTTTTGCAGCATGTTTTATTCTAGTTGGGATTTAAAAGAAACCTATTTATTTATTTCTTTTTCTGCAACACTTCTAAGTTTAAATGTCTGTGGAGTTGATGATTTCCTGCAAATCATGCTGAATCCCCTCTTGGTAATTGGCACTGTCATTGTGAGGTACACAGTCTCATAATTCATAATGATTCCTTTCAGAGATAGTACAGCTCTAGCCTTTGATCTGAGAAACTTAAAGTCCAGATAATTTTACGCTTGATTGCAGGATCTGATGAAGTCAAAAAAGAAAATTGCAATTTTAAATGGCCATGTGACAGTTCCCTGGAATTTTGTTATTAGCTTCTTATACCTTATTCATGCAATAATTACATGATAAAAGAGAAGAGGGGAAAGTGACATGGATTTTGTGGGTGTTTCTCTCCTTGTCTTTTCAGCAGCACTTTTCAGTACACATTAGAAGCTACCAAGTCTCTGCGTCAAAAGCAAGGGGAAGGACCCATGACCTACTTGAACAAAGGACAGTTCTATGCCATCACCCTGAGTGAGACGGGTGACAACAAATGCTTCCGGCATCCCATCAGCAAAGTCAGGGTATAGTCCCATTTCTTTCCTAGGTGGGAATGGAGCTCTGCAGACAGATATGGCTGTGGTTGATTTGCTTTTAATTTTATGTTTTTTCTTGGGGGAAGGACAGAGCAAGCTTATTCTCATGCTTAATGTAAAGGTGGGAGAGCACCTTACTGATGGTGGTAACAAATGCTTTGCAGTCCAGTTTTTTCAGAGTGTGATCTTAGGAGTTAATGATATAGCCTCAGTTTATGATTTGGCAGTTTGGTGGTTCCACAGATACACTTAACACTGGTGAACTTATTGCTGTGAATAAAGCAAAGAAGTCCACGATCTGCCACATGTACTGGGGAGTCCATCTTTACTCACTGGCGCAATGCATCAGCTTCTCCAGTGCATTTCAGAGAAAACGTGAGGAGTTGAATCCATCCTTTTTGACATAAATTTAAAATAATTTTCATTGTATAAGAGTGAGCTTTCACTTGACATTCACCCAGAAGTGTAACAAAATGAATTATTTGCATCTTAGATTCTATGCCTAGAACTGTAGCTTGTGTATTCAGCAACATCTACCTGGTGAATGGGTGTCCTGATTTCCTTGGTAATGTTTTTGAGTTGATAAATCCTAACCCAGTAACCTTGGAATGAACAATGAGTCCTGTAAATTTTGCCCTGAAGCTGGCAGAGCTGCATATGTATGAGGCCGAAAAATGTTTCCATCCAAATACATGAAACTCTCTAAAAATGTTGTGACTTTAGTTAAAGGGACCAATGAAAGTCAATGTGAGCATTGAAGCAGACAACAACCTATATGTTTCTATCATACAAGTTTAGAGAGACTCTTCCTAAACAGAGGCAGTGATTTGGAAACCTGAATGAGCAGTTAATTTTTAGCCTGGTTTCCTTAGGACATGAAGCTGTTAGCTAAATCTGATGTAAGATTTCTGTGTTGCTCTGTGCAATCTCTTTCCTTGCCACACATTCCTTCCCATTTTGTGGTTCCAGCTCTAGACTTGTAGAGCTGAAACAGGAGTCAGGAGGTCACTAGTCTGACTGAAAACCAGTCCTCATATGCCTGGTTCAATGCACTGCCACATGAATTTTGAAGCTGTGGAAACAGAAGGGTGGAAATTATAAAGGAGAGGTGAGATTGCATCCTTCTAGAGGATGTAGTTGACAGAAGATTGTGAAACAGTGTGCAACTTTCACAATCATGTTCTGTTTGCCAGGGCTGTATTCAAGTGACTGTTGAATTTATTGCCAATTCCATCCAAAGCTAACAGAGGGGCAAGAGGTTTTGAAGGTATTAAACCTCTACAAGTTCCCTGTAAGTGGTTAATAAAAACATCGGTGCTGTCCTTGGTGGAAAAGCTAGTCTGCTCGGCCAGTTCTGGTTAGTGCATCAACTGGCCAGCCACACACACCTGGTGCCCACCCAATATGCCTCATGCCCATGGAGAGGCTAGGTAGACATGGAAGATGTGGTGATGGTGTTCAGCATTTTATAGGTGGACTGCAGAAGGTCACAGAGTGCATGAAAGGTTGTGGTGGTGGCTTGTGGAGGGACACAGATGATGAAACAATTGTAATCTACCTCCTTGGCTTATAAAGCAGCTTGGTAGTGATTTTTTTGGGCTTAGTGTCTTGGGGTGAAAATAAAACAGGACATTTAAAAGTGAAGGTTTTTTTCCTCTGTGGTTTATTTTCACTTAATTTTAATTGGTATGATCATTCCTTCATTGTCTTATGTTGTTTTGCTTGCCTACAGCAGGGCTTTTTCAAAAATTGCTTGTGTAAATTTTTGCATAAAAATTCAATCTGTTTCCTTTGAATCACAATTTAACAAAGCAAATTCAAAGTAAATAGTTACACTGAATTTGCCATTAAGCACATAAATGCAAGAGTCCTGCTCCCAAAAAGAGTATTTGTGTATACTAAATTGAAAATGTCTTGCCTTTAGTCAGTGAAGCTGGCTTTTTAAAACTAAGAATATTATTACTTTTTATTTGGATATCAAGAACATAATCCTGGGCCTTGCATTATTTTACAACTGCATTTCTTCTGCCCTGAGTCTTTAACTACACTGTAGTATTGGACTGATAAAGCCCAATCTTGTACAACCAAAGTACTGGGAGAGGGTAGTGGCTGGATCAGAATTAGAGGCATATGGAGATTTTAATTTTTGTGTTCCTGACTATTAATTATTTAACTAATGGTGTTGTTTTCCATAGAGTGTGGTCATGGTTGTATTCAGTGAGGATAAAAACAGAGATGAACAACTGAAATATTGGAAGTACTGGCATTCCCGGCAGCACACAGCTAAACAGAGAGTCCTTGACATTGGTAAGTCTAAGAACATCTCCAGATGTTTCAGGCAAGATTTCAGATATGGAAAGCTCTGGTGCCTTGCACAGGAATATGGTGGAATATATTGGCAATGGCTTCTTGGCTTGTACCAGAGTTTTTAGCAATGGCTCAATTCTGCTAGGACTGTGGGGTCTATGGAGCTGGATAAGAACCATGCAGAAGGAATGGTTGTCAGTATTTACACAGAAGGGCTGCCCCTTGCATGTGTATTTAGTGGTGTATCTCCTTCTGCAGCTGGGAAATCAAGGTCTGCACCTCCTCAGGTGTGGCAGAGTATCTGTTACATTTATTTTTTCAAAGGGTGATCCAGTCTTTGATCCAGCAACAGTTATGTTAGCTAATTGATGTGGAATTGCAGCCTGAGAGTGCAGATGTCATCATTGTGGTGACTGCAAAGGAGTGTGCAGGATTCCTACACCCCTAGAGTTTGAGTCAGCAGTGAGGGAGAAGCAAACTCTGGTATGCTGTCCTGAGAGACCTGCTTACCTTTCATCCCATCTAAAATACTTACAAGCCCAAGTCACCCCCAGCTGTCCTATCTGCATGTTAGCAGAGGAAGAGCACGTACTTGCCGCCAAGGAGCCTGAAGTTGAAGTCAGTGGCAGTGTCTAGACATCAAGCGTTTCTCCCCTCCCACGTGCAGTTTACACATGCACCCATCTGCTCGGATTCCAGTCAAAGGAGTCGGCAAGACCAAAGCAGGCAAAGTCTATCTTGTTTTGACCGCCTGAGGGAACCAAACCATTGAATGGCAGGAATGAGAGCGGGCAGAGAGGGGGGCTAAACCAAAGCAGGGTTACTTGGAGAGAACATTTGGACACTTCAGGGGGTGATTGAACTGTGTGATCAGGGAATCTGTCCCCAAGTGGTCCTAATCACTCTGCTGCCTGTGGATTTTCAAATGCTGCAGTTTCCACTGAGGTCTGGCGTTATTTAGGGTGGACTGTATTTTGTCCAAACAGCTCTTCCAGAATGTCCTCTCTGCTTCTTGTCTTATCATTATTCTGGTTGAACAGTTTCATTAACTTCATTCTTTTCCCCCTTTCCCCCATTTTCTCTTCTTGCCCATTGGGGTACCTGACTCAGTAAAACCGCCACCCCAGAACAAATTACTTTTATTGTGACACATTAAAAGAAGAAACAGGCCATCTCACAGCTCTTTTGAAGGCTGCTTTTTTTTTTGTGCTAGTCCCTACAAGCTTGTGGTAGTAGTGCTTATACCTTCGAAAAGTATGTGCTGAGCAGCTCACTCCACTGTAGTGCCAGCACCCTCTAACTCCACTGCATTTGTGGTGTCCTGGCACATTTCGGTTGCCTTAGCCCAACAAGTTAACTTATGATACATATTCTGAAAAACAGTGCTATGCAAAATAAGTGCTGTGCATGAGCTGTGTGTTTACCTGTGTTAAAGTGAATGTCTTTTAATTTTCCATTAGTTTGAGGTGAAATAGCTCTGTGCTGACTTTTGAGGCACTTTTGAACACTGAGGCGCATATTCTTTATTTGCACTGCAAACATGAGCAAAGCACAGTGTAGTAAGAATTACTGATACAGCCCTTCAGATATAAGAGCTGTAAGAGCATGGTTCACCTCAGTTTTCAGAAAAAAAAGACCTAAATGTTGCACAGTAGTGTTTTCTTGAGAACAACTGAAATACAGCCTTACCTCTTACAAGGATGATATTTCTGAAGTACATTTAATTTTCTTTGGCATGGCTAACTGGCTTATTAGGCCAGAATGGCTCCCAAGTATCAAGCTGCATTTAACAAAATCTTCTAGTTTTATCATCAAATGATCTAACTGAGCAACTTAATCTAAATTTGAAGTTGGCCTTGCTTGAACCAGATAACCTCCAGGGGTCCCTTCCATGCAAAATTATTTTGAATTACTCTAAGAAGATTTCCCTTTAAAATTTCACATCCCTGAAGGAGTCCTATAAATACTTGGAGTTAATGTCCAGGCCCTGTGTAGTAAACAAAGAAAATTAAGTGTTTAAAACTCTGCATCACCTGTTCCATAGATGTTACTCTTATTTTAATTTGATGTTTGTAGTATGTTTAACATCTGTGAATCATTTCTAATTGTTTATAAATGCACTTTTAATCTAGAGCATGATGTGGTCCTTAGCAGGCAGAGGATCAAATCAATTTGGGATGCTTCAGTTCCAGCTGTTCAGATCTCAGAGGGACAGGGGGACTATGCTTGTGCTGCTTTCCATTGTGGCAGGGATCTGTCTGTCTGCTTTCTGGCCTGCAGTTACATTCTGAACATTGGAGGAAATAATGACTTGCTCCTTCACTCCAGACACACAGGGGTCACTGCTTTAATTTGTTTTGTGTACTGGCTGGTGCACCTCCTGGGAGGAAGGATGCTTCAGTGGATAAGGTGCAGTGACAGGTCTGAAGATGTGTTGATATTAATAAAAACAAGCATGTACTTACATGTATTCAAATCCTTAGTGCTTGAGGGATAAACTTGAGGGCTTGACACTTACTAAGCAAGAAGGTGAGGTATTTTCCAAAACTTAGCCTATGTACTGTAATGGATTTTTCTGAAGAAGGACTAAGGTGCATGTTTACTTTTGTAGGAGGAATAAGGGGGCAGGGGGAAAACAGCTTTATTTTCCCAGTGCTGTGACACTGGATCACTAAATTTTTTGTTTCAAATATTTTAAAATAAAGAATACTCAATTGCAGTAGATATTGATTACTTAGAATAAGTACAATAATTTGACATATTAGAACAGGTTCAAATATGAAGAGTGGGTGTGGAAGCTTTGTGCTCCATAGAAATTTGCCCTTGTTTTTTTCAGGATAGTTTGTATTATTTATGTCCACAATACAAAAGTATGCAATGACATGTAATACATGATTAGTGTTTAACATTAAAAATTTGCCATTGTTTAATACGCAAAGTAACAAAAGAGGAAATAATTCCTGTGCAGCCTTTTTTTGCATATTGAACAACTCTGGTAACTCACAGCAGGAGAAGAGGAAAAGTTGTAGTGACTCTAACAGCTTTCAAATATTCTGAGGTGTAAATGGTTTCTAAATCAACTGAGCATTCTTTTTTAATTGTCTGTAAATTGAGGGGAATAGGATGCACTTCTGCTTTTTAACACAGTGTCACATAGACACCCCATGAGATTTGTGTACTGCAATTAAAGGAGAGGCATGTGTTGAGAGAAGGGAGGGATTGGTGAGGTTCTGACAGCCTTTTAAGACAAGAAAACAGGTTTTTTTACGAGACATCTTGTTCATCTCTTTCCTAAGTGCACCTACAGAGCACGCCCATATGCAGCAGTCAGTTGCACTAGGCCATTTCTGGTGAATCATAAATTTAAGAGGTGGGTGGATGTGTGCACATGCATATTAAACTACTTATGTGTCTCCCAATTCCTCTCATTTGCATCCCCACACTGAATTTAGATAGTGAAGCCAATTACTCCAGTTAAAAAGATCTGAGTTCAAGGTGGGAATGAAAAGCCTGCCTGCCCTCTCAAGCACTTTGTTAATTTGCTACATCACCAAATATCTCGAGCTTTTTCTATGGTCTAAACTGATTTTTTTTTTTTTACTGTATCCAAAATCATTCATGTTTCCCAGGAATACAGTTTTATTTGCCCAGTGAGATGTCAGCATTCTTGTGTTTCAAATGAGATAAAAGTATACTGATTGCCAAACATGAAATAATTCTTATTGTAGCAATGTTTTTGTTATAAATTATTTTAAAGCAGTTATTATCTAGAAATTATATTTTAGAGACCAACAGTTTAGGCAAAGGGAATGAATATTGGAACCATTTGCGTGTCTTACAGAGTACAAAAATATCCTCTTTCTATAACTGATTACAAAGCAAAGAATCCGCGTGCTTCTGAAGCACAGATTTGGGTAAACTTTAGATCAGGAGTGTAATCTCAGCCCTATGGCACTGAGTCCAATTACAGCCCTCGAGGAATTCTTAGGAAATCTTCATCCCAGAGAGAGTTTTATGCCAATACTGTGAACGATCTGGAAGTTCCTTTAATCAAGTTGCTATTACCTGGTATCTCTCTTAATCTGTCATCAAAAAGAATAAAAGGTGTTAAACTGTCCAGCAAAGTAAGAGAAAAGCAGTGCTTGTTTCTCTTTCCAATGATAAAGAAGACTTGGGAATTGTCTGCTTTTACATAGTTTTCCAGCCTTACTATTTTGGGGGAGGGTTAGTCAACTTTGAAATCTTCCTCCCTTTTGCTTTTCCTTCCTTCCAAAATGCTACTTCATTGATGAAAATAATAACAGCACGTGGGGAAGAAGTGAGAAGAAGGTGCCGATTTTGTAGTCAGACAAATTAAATTTTTTTTTTCTTCATTTGCTGTTTTATTAGTGCACATACTTTGGAGAAAGGATCTTTGTAGTTTTGATTCCTTGTGGAAGATTTGTGGTGGTTTGGATTTTTGTGGGGATTTTAATTTTATTTTTAATAATATATAAATATTAATTCAGCATCCAGTGCAATAATTCCTGTGAAAGCTGGAATGCACACTGATGATTTCCTCCAGTCATAGCTCTTAGACTTTTAGAAAGCTTCTTTAGGATTTACCATGTATTTTCTTAATATTAAGGTTTGAACAGTCCCTTTCAATGCTTCAGTAGTTTTCAGTTAATTTTCCAGTTTTGGCCATTCCTTGGTCAAGCTAATGAATGCACCATTGCCAGCAGAGTCACACTCCTTTTTGAGAGCAAACAATATTTTACAAGAACATTGGCTAATGATATACTATGTATAAGAATCGGGTTGCATGATATTACCTCTTTGCAATTAAGATTATTCATAATTAATCATAAACAATACAAGAGGTGGTTTTGATGCACTAGACAACCTAGCTTAAGAGGCAAAGAAGCACTATGAGTTGTAAAACAGTTCAAATTTTTTCATTACTCTTGTTTTTTTTCTTACAGCTGATTACAAGGAGAGTTTTAATACCATTGGGAATATTGAAGAAATTGCATTCAATGCTGTGTCCTTTACCTGGGATGTCAATGAGGAGGCAAAGGTGAGGAAAAGCCATGCAGGTGACATCCCTTTATAAGTATCATCCATCATTAGGCACTGTTCCACTTCTCTCCATTCTGACAAATAAGAGAGCTTGTTGGTAGGTGCCCATCTTGAGATACAGTAAAAGATTTTTTTTCCCATTTGCAAAGCCAGGTGTAAGACACAAGCTGAGTCTTTTCTTTCTGTAAATTGTCGACTTTCTTTCTACATTATAAGCATCTCCAGTAATCCATATTCTGCAAGTTAGACTGTGCCTTCCCTTGTGTTGGTACCATTATTTTTTATATTGTTACACAGACCATCTTTGCAAATTGGAATGAATTTGTCCCTCAAATATTTTTGAGGACTGAGGCTTTTTTTTTTTTACCTTTTTTTTTTTTTTTTTTTTTTTTTTTTAATGGTCAAGTACCCTCAGGCATGGGGTTTTCATTCAGGAATGTGACTCTTAAGTGGACCTATAAACCAGAACATCAGAACACCTTAACTAGTTTCTTACAGATAAGGTTGTATAAAGGCTGTCAGAGTGCTTCAACAGCACGGACTAGTGTGGGAGAAATGAAAAACTGCCGGTAATTATAAGAAGTAGTTGGCCCCCTGGAAAGCAAACAACAAGGGAAATAGGCTGTGTAAAATGAGTGGGGGTAAAGCAGTACTCTTGGAGATGTAGAGTTAATAAACAGCAAACACTGAGCTCGGCAAACTCCTGATACTGTTTTCATGGTGAACACAAAATGTCCAGTGTTTAAGTAGAGCTATGAATCTTTCAGATTCAAAGACCTCTTCATGCACAATTGCCCACTGCGTTTCCAGCAGCATTAGAGAGGTTGCATCCTCAGAGCAAGTCCTCTGAGAACTTGTATTGCGCACTGAGTGGTAGCATTAACACTTAGCCTCCTGACTCCTGACTGAAGGTGAAAGTGCTGGCTGTTTATAGTAAGAGGGATTTTAATCTCTGACTCGCATCTTAAAAGAAAAGACAATAGTTCTGAAAATCACCCAGCTCTTTCAAAAGCAGGCCTTGATAAACAGAGTTGTACTTGGCCCACTTGCTAATGGTGCTGTATTTACTCATGTAGTGATTACATTTTGATCGGCCCAGATATTTCCCTATTATGAGTTTCCATTTCAAAATACAGCTGTAGGTTGTCCTCTGCAGTCACAACAGGTGACTGCTGTGTGTGTGTGTGATCACTGTGCAAGCAAACACCAATTTGGGATCTCCAACACAGCAGTCTTCCTCGAGGACCTTTATAGAAGCGCTGCCAGGGCTAGAACCTGGCAGTCTTGTCCCAGGACTGGCAGTTCTCTAATAAGACATTTGCAGCTCTGAGCCAGACTTAGCAAGACACCCATGTTGATCTAGGAACAAGGAAGTCATATCCATTAATGTCAGGTATTAAGCTTGGATGTTTTTTTCTAATCTCATACCATTCACCTGGCTCTAGCCTTGATATTATGAACGCAACTTTTGCAATGATCATTGGAAACAAAACAAGCTAAGATTTTAAAATAAAGACTCCTTCTGGATTAAAAAAGTGCTAGGAGTAAAATTTAAGCTGCTTGTATTTCAGCAGGAAAGTGATTAAAATGCAAATTGGCTTATGCATATTTATTTTGGCATATTAAATATCTGATCTTTCAGGAGCTTGAACTATAAATGTATTGATAAAAGAGGGTTCATAATGTGCTTTAGTGTTCGGCTATCAAGCATGAATCAGATTGTACAGGAAAGCTTATCACCTTGTCTGCACTAAAGTGTTTCCCTTCCCCACACACATGCATGTGTACATGCTTGCTCCTGCTGGAAAGTATGATAAAATAGCTGATTGCACTGGGTCTGGGGATTCCCATAGGATGCCCCTGCAGTGTTGGAAAGCTGTGGCTTCTGAGGCATGTCACTGGAGGCTGTTTTTTCTCCAGCAATTACCTCATCCATGGGAGATCAAGAATTTCAAGGCATAATTACAGACTCCCTTTTCCTAAGCTTTTTGAATGATGATCTTTCAACTGCCTCAATTGTTTCTGTTCAGTATTATTTTCCATTTTCACTACAACTTCAAGATTAAAACTTAACCCCTCAGAGGCACAAAAGCCTTTTTTTTTTCCCAAGTCAAACAAAAGTGGTACACAACAGTTCTTTTCAGGGCCTCTGAGTTGGGATGTGATGAAACACTACTGGCCCTGGAAGAAGCAAAGAAAAACTTCTCGTTGGAAGTGCACTGGGGAGTGATAAGGAAAATTAAACAGAGGTAGTAGAAATCACCTAACAAAATACGCCTCTCTCTCCTGGGAAACCGAATCACACATTTAGAAGACCTATCTTGAACATCAGGTTTCTCACTTTCGTACTCCATCTGGATGGCAGCTAACTTAAAGCTGTATTTCTCCTCATTTGAAGTCAAACTTTTCCTCACACACACAGAGAGCAGCCTTCCCCTCACAATCCTTCAGGATGAAGGTATAAGGGAATGGGTATGGCAGTCCCAATCTGCCAGCTACCACTAAGTGTGCTAAGGGTTGGTAAGCTGGGTCTTAGTGGGATAAACAGGAATCCAGAGGGTAGAGGCAGAGGCCCCTCTGTGTTGTCTCAGTAATGTCAATGGAACTGGGCTGTTGGCTCCAGTTCATCATGCTTGGTGCATCATCTTCCAACTGCTGCTTGGCAGAACAAGTCAGTGGAAACAGAATCTTGTACAGTGCATATAAAGAGGTGGAATAATCCCACTTACTTTCTGTGAACTAAGGAAACAGCATCAAAGTCAGAAACACCACTCTGCTAGTGTTTTCTCTGCTGTGTCTGGTTGACAGCAGCAGTCCCCTTGCCTCTGGCAGAGGAGAGTTAGTCCTGGCACATCATTACCCTTTTCTAGAACAGTATCCTTTTCTGCTGGGGCTGGTATCTAGAGGTCACTGGGGGGCTTGTGGTTCAGAGCAGGATCCAGGGAAATGAGGGGAAGACTCCATAGCCATGTCAGACTCAGTGCTTTCTTAAGAAAAAAAAATACTGCTGTAAGGGAGCAGGGATCGGAAGAGAAGAACAGTTTTGTACAATCCATCTTTGTTTCCCTCCCAAATTTAATTCTGCTATAAATATGTAGCATTTATGGGTAAGGTGATTTGTTATCTCCCTTTGGTTGAACCCAAATGCTATGTTTAGTATTTTTAAAGGAGTTCTTTAAAAAAAGATGAGGAAACAAACAACAATTAACAACAACTGTCTGACTTAACTATATTTTACAAGTGTCTTTATAATATGCTAGAAGTTATGTGGTTGACTTGCTGATGCCTTATAGAAGATTTTGCTGCAGCATCTAGCCAGTTGACAAAGTTCTAGTGGAGTCTCTTGGACACAGGTTCATTTCTGATGGACATTCATCTGTCTGCTTGCAGTGTTAGCACTGATAGAAGTTAGTTTGCAAGAAAGATGGTTAAAGAGACAGAATTCTCTTGGTCAAAGGATAATGTATTTGTTATAAACCATACCACCTTCTTGAGATATGTCTTCTCTCTGGTAGGTACTTGGCGCATTTAAATTGGCTTTGATGGTGTTACTTCTGAAACAATTAATTGTATATTTTTAGGGAAAGTATTTTTTAGCCTTAAAATCAAAGATATTACTTCAGTGAACAGTTGCTAACAAAAAAATGTCACCTTAAAGAGACAAACAGTTTTCAGTGATATCAAGAGAATTACAGATTTCTGCTAAGCACTGCAAGTTGGACATGCAATAAGCAGACATGTTGGTGGCTCTGTTATTTAGGCAAGTGCTGGCAGATGAGTGAGGTGATTTCAGTGAGTGCAGGAGTTGTGTGCTGAGCAGTTGTTGTGTGTACTTGCATGCAATAACTGCCCTGCTATATTTAACTGAAAAGTAGATCTTTAATCCAAAGTATGCTGAAGCCTCCGGGAACCTTTCCAGTTATTTAATGAGTTTTGGCATGGCTCATACAGTAATAAGCTATTTTCAAAGAGTGACTGATTTGCAGGATTAGTTTCTTGGATATTGTGGGCCAAAGTGAGCTCCAATTCCAGTGGGTACAATGGTAAAATCAAGCTTATAGAGCAGCACTATCTCTAGCAGTAATTTGTATTGTGGCAATCCATATTTCTTAAACATTGTTAGTGATACTTAGGACAGGCTTTGACTAGTGTAAGATTTATTTTTCTTAATCGTGAATTTCCTTCTTAAGTTACATCAAATTTAATTTAATTAGGAAGGAAATTAACATCAACTCTACTCCAAAAATGTAAAGGTTGAAGGAAAAGATGCTTCATTTCGGGGAGTTAGTAGCAGAAATTATGTAGGATTAGACTTGGCATCTACTTTAATAAACCATGTCTGTGTGCGCATGTGTGTATATATATATATATGAGTGTATATATATATGAGTGTATATATAGATGCGAGACATGCACACACACGTGTATATATTAGAGAACAGTTAACCTGTGGTAGCACATTGTGTTGAAATTCAGTGTATACAAATGGCTTGGTAAGTATGTATCTGGGATTCAAAGCAAATGGCATTTTTATGTAGTTGCCGGGGTGTGGTGTGGGTTGAGGAAGCTTCAAAAGAGAAGTGTAAACATTTGCTGGAGACATTTGTATTGAAATAAAACAAAGGTCTTACCTTTGTGTGGGATTTATAAGGTAACGGCTGGTAGGAGAAACTATAAACCCACACTTTCTGTGTATGTGAGGAATGATGGGATGGATGTTAGTCATTTGAGAGTCAGTTAACTCTTTGTTGTTAGGAGTCAGGAGGGAGAACCTTTTAAAGAAGACTTTTAAGAGACCAGTCACCCCGGTTCTATGTATTGCCAGTATTCAGCAGAGAAATTGCTTTAAGTTTCTTATTTTGTGCCTCCCTTCTGCCCTTGGCAGTTTCTGAAACAATGGGAGCCAGAAATGTAAATAGAAATAAAAGGCTTATATTAGAAGTTTCGTAGCTGTAGACCTTTAGTGTATAAGCTGAGAGACCACAGCAAGAGTCATGTTGGATGAATTAAATGATAAAAAGGGAAATGCACTTCTGAGCCTTGCTTTCCCTTAAGGCGGATTACTGTGTTTGTGTCTTGTACATCCCTAATTATGCTGCAGTATTTAACAAACAGTAATTCTCATAATAGCAGCTACATCGTGGAGGAGTAGTCCCCAAAAGATAGAGTGCTTTTTCTAGATGTACTCTATAACAAATAAAAGAGCTGCCATTATCTTGGGCCACTTGTGAAACTTTCTCAGCACCAGATGTTTCTCTAAATTAGTATTAAATTGCCAATGGCATGCCTGAGCTGGAGACTACATGGGTGGAACTCTGCCATTAATTGCTCTAATCTAAGATATGCTGACATTAAAAAAAAAGACATCACTATAATGACAATTATACAATGTGTTCCAGATAGCAAAACATTGCTAAACTCCAGTTTGCACAGGAAAAAAAAAAAAAAAAGGATGTATTTGAATTTGGGTACAATCATACTAAATTTTATTAATATAATTCTAAGACAAGTATAGACAGGGCGTGGGAGGGAGACAGTGATTTCTCTTCCTGCTACTGTCATTTCTACTTAACTCTACATTTTCTAATCATGTTAATTCTACTATGCAAAATACCACAGCAAAGGAGATCTTAAATCTGGGCATCTTCTAAGAAAAGTTAGAAGATTTTTTTTTTTGTGGCTACCCATGGAGTCGTTTTGCTTCATGTCTCATTGAGAGTGGGAGTACATGCATTATGGACAGGAGCTCGGAACAGGGGGAAGGTGAGAGCTGCAAAAGGCAAAGCAAGGATGTGTTAGGACAAATGGCTGAAATCAGTGCTGCTCAGGGCAGGTCACTGCTTTGGGGAGGTAGTTTCTGATCAGACCAGGGGAGAGAGGAGGGGACTGTCCAGATGTTTCTTCAGGTCCTCTTCACCATAGCAGCCTGCTGCACTGCAAATCTTTAATCAGGCAAAGAAAAAAACCCTGTAAAATAAATAACAGAACCTATGTCCTCTTTGTCTCTATACACCCCAGTGTTTTCCAAATTCAAAGTCAGTGTGATGCTTTACAGGAAAGCTGATAGAACATTGCATGGAGGCAGAAAATTTCCCCAGTATCAATGATCTATGTTAATTCTAATCCATCTATCTGTGAGATGCAAATGATATGACATAAAGTGTAGTACACTTCATGTGCATGAATGTACAGTCATTGCTCCTCAGAGAGATCCTGATGTATTACAGTGTCAGGACAAGATATTGAGTCTTACAGCATCTATCTATTATTCATGCTGAATAATCTGTTACTGCTGTATGGGGACTCTTGAAACCATGAAGTCTGTCTTCTCCAGCCATTCCTGCTCTGCTCTCTGATTGTGGAGGCAGTGAAAAAGATGACATAGTGTATGTAGTTGATGACATAGTGTTTGTAGTTGATTAAGGTGGGACATGATCTTTTTTGCTTCTCAGCTGAGTGTGCAGCAAAGGTGGAAGAAGTATGAGCTGCTAGGTTGATGCAAAGCCTGCATGTCTTCTCACACTTGAACGTACGTTTTGGAAAATCCCTGTGCAGAAGTATGGGCTAAAATATAGGGAGACCAGATTCTGTTTTATGTTAGACTTCATTCCACTGCTGTGTGTTCACACACTTTAAACCATTGCCCTGACACTATAAATGATTCTGAAGGCAAATGAAAATTCAGGCTGTCATATTTCAAAGGTATATTCCTTGTGTCTATGCTTATCTTTGGAGCTGGAGGAGATCAGCTTGTAATTTGAAACAGAAATAACGCTATCAGCTTCAAAATCAGAGTTTCACCTAGGGCCTTTCCCTGCCTCCCTCTTTTCTCTGCAGTTAAAGTTCAACTATTTCATTTGTAAATGCAGCTCTGTGATACAATCAGAAGCAGAGAGGAGGGGCCATTAGCTCAGTCAGGCAAACAAGCTGCTCTGGCTCCATCATAAAGACCCTGACTGTAATGTTAACTTCAGCCAGGAGGGTAAAGTATCCCCCACCAGCCCTGCTGGAGCCCTTCTTTATTTTCAGCTGTCTTTCTTAGGGATGTTGCATTCTGTTCACTTACCTGTTGGTTTATTTTCCCTGTTTGTAGAATGGAGGGCAAGGGGGGGAAATGTCCTTCATGCTCTTCCTTCAGAAATCCTCCCAGACCCCAGGGGCCTGCTGCCCTCTCCTCTGCCTGGTGAGGTGTGCATCAGGTGTGTTTGAGAAACCAGTTTGAGATCTCTTCTTTCCTGAGTGTCCTTATTCTTCTGGAGCAGGTTTTACGTCCTCCTGGTTCAGGAGTATGTACTGCTGGTTTTCTCAGTCCTTTTCCTTGGTTCACACTTTTGGGGTTTTGTTTTGTTTGGTCTTTTGTTGTTGCTTTTAAACTAAGGGCAAGTGAAAAATAGAATCAGGTTAATAGACAATTGCCCCAAATTATTATGTAATGCAATATTCTTCACTGGGTTGAAAATTAGATTTTTACTATAGTTTCTTGTCTTGAATTTTATCCATGCCATCCTGACTGAAAGCTATTGGTGATATTTCAGTTCATGTTTCCTTTACGTCAGAATAGTCCTTGGAAGACTTTGGTGGTGAGAAACCCTTCTCCCAGGTCCTGTATAGATGACACACACCATGGTGCCAACTGAGTTAATGAGAGGGAGATATGATTAGTGGCGATCAAGTTGTAAGCTTTTGTTGTCGAAGGAGAGCAAGAGATGAATTTCTGAAGCAGGCAAGCAGGAGACTTGCTAGCTCAGTTTCTTAATGCCAAGGTTGTGGGTTCCATCTCTGGATGGGCCATTAAGAGCTGGGCCCAATGATGCTTCTGAGTCCCTTCCACCTCAGACGATTCTGTGACTCTTTCAATGCAGTGTCAAGTTACATGGATGCTGTTTAACAAAGAAAACTTCTGAGAAGAGGTAGGGAGTAGTTTTATGAATATTTGAAAAATTCCTTCCTAGTTTGAAAGATAGGGTGAGATGCATCTTCAAAACTGACAAGAGACTGTGAAGGAGCCTTAAAGTGAAACACAGGAGTATCTATTAATGGGATGGAGAAAGCAGTAGTATTGATGAGAGCGTGAAGAAAATTTTTAGAATAAAAAAAAAGGAGTAGAGTTTATCTTTGTCCCACTAAATTGGAATGAGCTGTCAGATGATCAAGCCATACCTAAGGCAGCTGGAAAGGGTGAAGCAAGGTGATCTGTATCAACAAATAGTGCAAACAGAGCAGGGTTGTAGAGTGAAATATGTAAGGGCTGACATCCTGACATCCACATAAGGCACATTTTAGGAGGTTTTATCTCAGATTATCTTTAGTCAGTTCCCATGAATTTAGCAACTGTGAGCAGCTGGAGGATCTGAGTGCTCCTGGAAATAGCTTTCTGGTCTGGTTCTTCCAAAAAGAATCCAGTTCATGTATTCTGAGCTCTGGTGTGAACCAAAGCACGGTAAATTGGGAGAACCAAATTATTCACCTCAAATGTGAACTTCTGATCCAAACTGAAGCACTAATATATGGCTTTCCAGTTTGCTCTTCTTCCTAGCATGAAAGTATCTTTGCTGGACAGAAGTGGAGGATAAATGTGTGAATTGCCAGAGCGTGCATCATAGCTGAATTAAAACTTTTTTATTTTCCCATTTCTTGCCACTATTTCTGGAAGTTTAATTGTTGTTTGCATCACATTTTAAAAAGTAATCTCTCTGGCACACAGATTTTCATCACAGTGAATTGCTTGAGCACAGACTTCTCCTCACAAAAAGGAGTAAAAGGGCTTCCTTTGATGATTCAGATCGATACTTACAGCTACAACAACCGCAGCAATAAACCTATCCACCGAGCCTACTGCCAGATCAAGGTGTTTTGTGACAAGGTAAGTGCAAAGCACAGTTACCATGCATGAAGGAGAAATCTTGTTAGGCAGTTTATTGTTGCTGTATTTTAGACCTAATTAAATGCTGTTTCTTTCCTTAAAGAATTGTATTCAAAAATTGTATGAAGAATTGTATGTATTTCATCATAACATTTGGACCAGCTATATCACAAATCTGATTATCATGTAATTATTTTACTGCTTAGCAGCCTTTTTGGCCCTGATTCCTCAGCTTGTGAGCAATAGTTGGACTGTTTGAGCACAGCATGTTATAGGTCATGATTCTGGAATATCAAAAAGTAACATAAAGTGCAAATGCAAATATCTCTTATTTGGAGGGTTAGTGCTGATCATAGGCTTACATAAGTGGCAGTCTGCTGATGTCATCCCTTCTGACAGCCAGGATAAGATAGCAGGTAAACTTCATGTCAGTTTCTCTGACAGAAAAATGCATTTTTCAATAAGGGCCTGCTAAACTCCCTTTTATAATGCAGTGGAAACCAGCAAATTCCAGTGACACAGCTGAAGGCTTTTCTCCCTGCTTTGCTTACAGTTATTTTAGAAGCTGTTATGTTGCTGAGATTTTCTTATCAAAAGTAAAATCCAAAAAATATATTAGCCATTTCCATTTTGTAATTCAGTAACTATTTTTTGTGTGTTCATACCTTCTTTAGCAAAATTTTGGTTTTTTGCTGTAGGTATGACTGCTCCTATGTGGAAACTAGTAAGATGTTTTAGCACCCAGACATAGGTCATGCCTGAATGAATTAGACAGTGTCGTGGTCAGCAGTGTATATCACCATGTAGAAACAGTTGCTCAGAAATATCGGTGATGATTCTTCAAAGAGAGTGTGACCACTTTTCAGTTTTGTTCAGCATCTGCCAGCTGATGACTTTCTCCATGCTGAGAAACATCTTTCATAGGGGAGCTGATGCCTGGATTCTAGTCAAGGTTCAGGGATTCAGGAGCCTACATCTATTTAAGTGACTTGGAAATTTATCCAAATTAGTCTTACCATCCTACAGGTGGGAATAGAAAGACAAAAGGCCATGCCCCAGGCAAAACATAACATTAACTTTTTAATGGAAAGGGTAAGAGTTCAGCTGTTTCAGGTCTCTGTGTTGCTGCTCCTTCCCCCTTTTCAGTTCATTCCCTTGTTGCTGTTTTGACAACGACATCTGGAGGGCTGATCAGTCAGTTATGTTAGTGGAGGAAAATCTTTGGAAGTAATGAATGTAAATGTATGCACTGAGGTCTTGCAGCCAAAATGCTATGCTTTCAGTTGTAACTTTGAATGTCAAATATTGAGAGATTTGAAGCTACAGCTGGATCTTAACAGCTCAGTAAATACAAAGTAAGTAGTTTTCATCTGCCTATTTCTGAAGAGCAATTAGAAAAACTTGAATTATTTTTAAAAAGGAAGGAAATTCAGGGCACAAACTCATCACGGGTGACCCCTAGATACAACTGGTAGAGTTTTGAATAATACATGTTCATTGCATCTTTTAGCTTAATTGGAGCTTCAAATATCCAGATGAAAAATGCAGGAAATGAATGTTGAGTCTATTAATCAAAATTGTCTCAAAGTAGACAGAAAGATCACAGGGTAGTTAAAGTGCTATACACACCAAAAATGTATTGGAAGTGGGAACTGAAGGGCTCAAGAATACTGATAATAGGCTATATATGTGCTTAATATAAATGTATGCACACATGTAGAGCTTTTTAAGTTAATGCAGGTGTGAAAATTACTTGAGCACGTAAAAATTATCAATGTCAATGCACATGACAGTTCGTGCTAATTGGCACTTGGTAAGACATGAATTCTTGCTTCTCCTGAAATGTATGCTGGCAGTTCTTTACCAACATCCCTTTGTCACAGGATGCTTTTCTAAGTAAATAAATGTTCGGTGAATTTCCACTTGCAAGTGGCACTGGGAAAATTCATCGTGCTCAGAGGAAGGTAGCTGATGTGGCTGGGGTATCCTCATCTTTCCAAGATGTCAAAATAAACACCTAGCTCTAGTCAAGGTGGTGCTAAATAGTTCAATTTCTCTTGTTAGCCTGTGACTCCCCCCTCAGTGACATGGACAAAGCTTGCTGCCTCCTTGGAAAGGCTGTGAAGCTGAGACTATTACTTATTGCTTACCTCCTTGTCATGATGAATTGAAGAGGTACTATAGGGACATAAAAAAAGCCCCAGCAATCATATAATGATCTTTATATATTTTGAAAGTGTGAACTGTGCTGTTATGCCCCAATCTGACAGCCTCAAAGAGAAGCTGATGAGAAAAGTATACCTGATTTATTACAATCACCTGGCCTACTGGAACTGTACAGTAAATTCCTCCTCCCTACGTGTGAAATGTTTCTCATTCTAGAACATGGCAGAAAAAAATGTTTCTGTGCCTGAAGTGTTATTAAAAATGTTTATCTCTGTAGTGGTGGTGCCTCTTTAAGACTAGTGGGTGTATTTGTATATTCACTAAAATAAATCGCAGGTGGAGGTGTGCAGTTTTTAAGAATATTTGCTGACAAATTATTGTCTTATAGCTGCAACACAGCATAGCTGTTGTGGGAAGAGTTATCTTTGAAGAAATAAATCTGCATTTAGCTTAATGGTACATATTATATATATATGTTAGTATTTTTTCTGGCAATTCCTTGATTTTAATATTAGTTGACATATAAATTTGAGAGCAACACCAACTCATGTCCAGAATGTGCTCTGTGACATAAATATATGGAGATAAATGCTGCAAAGGCTGTAAATGTTATTTAACAAATCTAACTTTATCATACTCCCTATTTGTCCTCCAGTCTTTTGTCCATGTTTGTTTTTCAGTAGGCAATCTTCAAAGAATTTGTTACAGTCCACATCTTGTTTTGTCAGTGCTAATTCTCTGCCTTGCAGTCTTTTTATCATGTGCAGATCACTGATGCTGCATTATAAGAATATATAATTTTTATTCCTTAAGTAGGTTGTCAGGGAAACTGGGCCTATTTATATTTATATATTGCTACCAGGCATATTTATATTTATATTTATATATTGCACAATGCTTTAGCCACTGTGTATGAAAGAACTGGGACTTCAGAGCTACTTGATTTTCCATATGTGATTATCTTTGCTGAAAAGAAAGTAGAACTTGACAAATACCATAACATTCATCCACTATAAAATAAATTAATCCAGTTTTGTTTGACCTGAAAAAATACATGTTCTTTGGAATATGTGCAGTTCTTGCGTCCTTGTTTTTGGTGTGGAGCATCATAGAGAAGATGGACTGTCATAGTGTGTTGAGCAACTCCAATTGCCTGTTAATCTTCAGCTTTGGAGAGAAGAAGGCTGATGTCTATGTGCCTGCCCAATGAGATGTGGAATGCTTTAGCCTGGAACTAGAAGCAAGTGTGCACATGAGTGTCAGAGTGGTGATGGGAGTGGTCCTTATGAGGGCAAGGGCTTTGTCAGGCTGGAGCTAGAGTGCAAGACTTCAGTTTAAATGAGTTGAAGGATTAGGAAGAAAACACTTTGAATCAGCTAAAATTTGTAGGCTGCATTTTGTTAATGATTAGTAGCGGAAGTACTCCTTGCATTTATACAAAGCCCAGATATCAATGGAAAAATTATAAACTCTTTTCATCATTTCACTGGTCACAGCATAGTTTATAGTCCCCTGTAGGAGGGTAATTTCTTCTGTCCTGAAGAGATGTGCCAACTGTGGTTTATTAGATATGTGTCAGATGGCTCAGCTGTCAAAACAATGCAGCAGAAATACTCTAGTATGCAAAAATCATTTTGTGGTCTTGTCCCTGTGACTGTGACATCCATCCTGTAGGCTTAGCTGGCCCCTGCCATGTGCTGTGTGGGCTGCTCAAAGCTCAAAAGGGTTGGTAGGTAGTTTTGTGGGTATTGCAGTTGCCACATTTGGGAAGTGGCTGTGGCAAAAATCAACACTGGTGGATGGGAATGACTGCCCAGCTCAGGGAATGCCTGCACCCCAGAGATCTTGGGGTGTGTTGGTTTGAATGAATGAATGAAGAGAAAGCTGTCAAGTGTCATCAAGTTCATGGTTGCAAAGAATATACAGAAAATCAGTAAAACATATATTTTTTTATGTATAAAAGGCTGAGTCCTCCTCAGTTTCTGCTTTCCTGAGAGGAAACTCACACTTGCTGCTGTGTATGAAATACTTTTGGTTCATCCCGTTCCCTGTGAGCAGCAGAGTGGCAGCACCAAGTGGTAGCTAGGGCTGTGGCTGCCTGGCAGAGCTCTTTGTGCAGCACAGGTTTCTCAGGAGGTGTTTTTTGTGACATAAATGTATGGAGACATAAACAATGGCTGTGTATTTTTGCTCCTTTCTTAGAACAGATGTCATTAAAGGTTACAAAAGTACCTCTAGAAACAATTTTGATAAGTGCACAACTCTGAATCCTTTGGCTTCTGTGGTTGAGGTTGGTGAGTGACAACTGGACTGCGACCTGGTCTGGAGGCAGTGTTTGTCTGACACATTGTTTTCCTAAAGAGTTATTTCTTCCTCCAGATTTTTCAGCCTCTGGAAATCTACTGATAGATCACAGCCAAGAGTACATCTTTCCTTGCACTCTTTCTAAACTTGGTTCATTGACTCATGTGTGAATTTTGCCATCTTGAGTGGGTGTTTTTTGCTTTCCTTATGTTCCTCCTCTCCCTTTCTATTCAAGAAACCTCTAATTTCATTTTGGAAAAAAATTCTGTAATCTTCCATGCCAACCGTCTGGGAGCATATGGATCTTCGTTACCCTTCACAATGTGATAGGTATTATTTATAAAGTAAATTAGGAGAACTTCAAAGGAGGTGTTGCTGCTTTTTATGTCAGTAACAAGTTTTATTTTTTAAACTTGTTGAGAGTGTATTTACATTACAGAAGCCTGCAACTTCCCAGGAGTTCCTGGTGCCTAATAGGGCAGTGCTACATTGCTTTCCTATTTCTGGAGAGATTCTCCTGGGTGGAGGAGAGTTTAGGGAAGACCTCAGCACAGACATTATGTAAAATGATAGTGATCCTGCAGGTGTTTTATGCCATTACATACACAAAATGTTTGGCCTGAGCACTCTGTCCATTGCAGCCTCTGGGCTGGGGATGCCTTTTGCACAAGTTGTGCTGGCATCAGTCCTGCTACAGACTGCACACTGCCTGTCCTGACTCCTCCAAACCAACATGTGGATATGTTTCCCTTGCTGTCTGCAGCCCTGGGAGCTACTGGATGTGCCAGCTGAGTCTCAGGCACAGGTGATCTATGCAAAGCCCGGTACCTTTCCAACAGACTGGGCAGATCTGTCTTCAGTGAAATAACCAGTTTATCTTTCAGCATTTCTGTGTGTCTGATGCGTATTTCCAGGCATTGCAAAGTACAATGCTCACAGTGGTTCCTCTTTGGGTAATATCTGTGGGTTGTCTTTTTTGCATCAGGGAGCAGAAAGGAAAATCCGAGATGAAGAGAGAAAGCAGAACAGGAAGAAAGGCAAAGGCCAGGCATCCCAAACATCATGTAATAATGGTGAGTGAAGTGGGCCTTTCTGGTCTCGGGCTAAATCAGGCTGAACATTCCTCCTTTCACAACTCTGTGCTTTGTGATCCACCTAACAGCTGAAGGGAAGTTGAGTGCACTCCCTCTGCAGAAAAAGAGTGATATCACCTTCTTCAAAACAATGGCTGACCTGGATTCCCAGCCAGTTCTCTTCATACCGGATGTTCACTTTGGAAACCTACAAAGAACTGGACAGGTAGGAAATAATGAGATGAGCAGGTGCCACCTGGCTGCCTCTGCTCTGGGGCAGGTTTTAGGGAAATAAATTGCTGTTCCTGGAGGCCACTTCTTTCAGCTCTCATTTTGGTAAATGCAGTTTTGGCACATCATTTGTAGAAGACCTTACAAGAGGCAAGTACCTTTCGGAGTTCTGGGTGAAAAGGAATTTATGCTTCTTTGACAACTGACTAGTTTGGTTTTGTTACAGTTCTGTCATTCTTCTGCTTTTAAGTATAACGTTGATTTGTGACCGAAACACAATCTGGTTTTGAGTGCACTCTTTGGCTTGGTGAAATGAAGTGCCACCTTGTGGTAGCAGAGATCCCCCTCCCTGTCACAGCTGAAAACAAAGACCAAGCTCTTAACACGTGTAGAAACATCAAGAGTAGGGTCACTAAGCACCACTATCCATTTTCTGTTGGCATCACCTAGAGATCTGGAAATTCCTTGAAAAAAATATTTTCACTCTTCTAAGTAAAACTCTAACATACTAATGTAAATACTCAGTATTGGCAGTTACGATCATAAGGAAGTCTTTCCTGACTTGGCTCTTTTTTATTTTATCCCCTGCTGGGAAGTTGAAAACCTGAATTGGAGGGTCAGCTCTGACAACTTTTTTACTATGAACGTGTTATAAATTAGCATCTCAGGGAGTAGAATGAAACCATTATGCATGTGTTTATAAAGACAAATAGTTGGTTAGAAAATTTAATATGCATCTTGCTGAAAAATATGAAAATGATGAAGATTAAATGAAACTGAGTATTGGAATTGTCAATTATTTTGAAGCAGTGAGAATTGTAGTTGAGCAAAGCACAAAGAGCACAGACATTGTAATCACAGCTGTCACTGGCTTACTCTCCCAAATTGGAAAGACGCCCACTCACATGTCAGTGTTGGGTACCTTCTGTCCTCATGGCTTTCAAACCAAAATGTGGATTTGTTTCAAAACAGGAGATGGTGGAAACATTCCTTAGTATATATAATCCTGTAAATAATTTTCTAAACTAACTGGAAGATATCCCCATTTCCTAGCTCTTCGGCAACGTTCAGCCATGTTTTTTATTGCTGTAACTTATTGTTACAGACCTCGGCTTTGCACACGTACACCTCTGAGCTATTTTCATGGCACAGATTCAGAAGTGAAGGCTCCCAGTGAGAGTCGAGTGTGCTCTGAAGTGTCTTGCCAGCCTCAGTGCTGGAGACCTGCCCTGCCCTGCCCTGCCCTGCAGGAGTGGCTGTGGTGCCCTGTGCCTCTGACCCGCACTTGCACTGCAGCTCAGCAGCTGCAGGGTTGCACTGGTTGATGCAGACCTGCAGTGTGGGCACGTTATGAGGAGTTTGGTTGACTGTTCTGTAAAGTGTTGGACAACAGACTGATTTTATACCTCCCCTGCTACTATCAGCTTCATTTGCTGCTGTTGTAAATTCGGTCCCGGCGACTCTGAGCTACGTGGATTTACATAAAACTGAGCTTGGGCTTCTGCCCACAGCCTGTGCAAAAAATGTTCAGCTGTACCTTTAGTAATTGTATTTCCTTTAGGCCTGTAGTTTAATCTTATTCTTTATAGTTTAATTAGATTTTCAGACAGTATTAAATATGTACAAAAGCTTTTGAGTGTTGTGGCCTAAACTGTATTAGGGGTTATTTAGGTGAGTAGCAATCTGATTAAGAGGATTGTAAAGTAATTGGGAAAATGATATAAAGCAGGGAAGAGGGTAATATTGCTCAAATAAACTTTAATATATTTCCAGTAGATGATATTCAACAGCATTTTCTCCAAGCCACACTTCTTCTTCCAGATAACAGTTAGAACGAGAGGTTTGTGTTTTATAGGAGGAAGAGGATTTTTAACATATGACAAACTGCAAAACACTGTCTTTTCTCCCTTTTGAAGTTATTCTGTTAAGCAAGTGTCTGAGTTTTGGGAGTAATTGATTTTTATTTCCATCCTTCTAGGTTTACTATAATACAGATGACGAGAGAGAAGGGTAAGATATTTGTTGTTTCCCAAGCTTTGCAGTTAACAGTTTAAACTCATAGAAAGTTGATACAAACTACAAAATCAGATAAAACTGACCCATTTCTCCCCATTCCCTCATATTTTCCTATGTAAAGTGTTTGCTTTTTATGTCTGTATTTTAATACATTTCCAAGTAAAAGAGCCCTAAGGTTTGATACAGGGAGAGGACAATTATATTTGACAGTGAAGTGCCATCTATGTAAGCATGAGGGTTCTTAAATAATTTAAAAACCGAGAATTTTTTGTTGAAGCACTGAACTTTACTACATTCCTGAAAGCTGTTTAGCAGTGCACACATGTGTATGCAACAAATACAGGAACTGCAGAGAGAATGGCCAAGTGTCAGAAGAGAAAGACAGAAAGAGAAGGGAGAGCCTGGGAAGGACAAAGGTTGGAAATGGGAGAACCCCCTCTCTGACTTTGGAGGGACTGCAAGAATTTATTAAAGTCCCTCTAATAGTTAGAGGTGCCATGAAATAAGGGTTTTAATATGGGCTGCTGAATTTCAGCCTGCATTATGTGTCAGCCTCATACTTTTGTAAATTGCTTGAATCCCTCAAATCTGAGATTATGGAGTAACATAACTACACTGCCATAAACCTGCAAAAAGTGACCTGTGGTAGGGACTGGCCAAGCACCTGCAGTCAACACTGACTTGAAAACATGAGGCCCTTTTTATTCTTTTTAAAACTAATGCTCTTCATAAGGCTTACAGTGGAATTTGAGAAACAAAGGGGTTTATTGCATCAAGCAATACCCACCACCCTTCCCTCAAACACTTAAGGGCCTTTGGGGCTTTCAAATTAGCATGTAACATCGGAACATGTTTTCCTGTCATCTGTCCCAGCCAGTCAGTCTCGGCAGTTTTAAAAGGCCTGGATAATTCAGATAAGCATCAAAAGCTAAGTCCTTGCAGTTTCGGCTTTTGGTGCTAGCTAGTGAGTGTTTTTGACAGAGTACAAAGTGAGTCATGACTTTTGCTGTTGTCTCCTCTTCTGCTGTGAGCACAGTTTTACTGTGGTGGTCCCTGTTTGTGTATTCTAGTAGCAGTATCCTGGTCAAAAGGATGTTCCGGCCTGTGGAGGAGGAGTTTGGTCCTTCCCCTTTGAAACAAATCAAAGAAGAAGGTCTGAAAAGAGGTAACAGTCAATTCTTAGCAGTTAAAAATCATTGTGTGGGACTCAAACCCTCAAGGTGGGAAGGGCAGGTGTAGTTTGGACAAAGTCAGTTGTAGGATGCTAGTGCAAATATGGGTAGATGGAAGAAGAGATCTTTGCATCTGCAGGCTATAAGGAGGCAACAAATGCTAAAAATTACTTTAAAAAAAAGAACTGTGCTTTTTCAAGAAGGGATCAGGAGAGAAGTGTATAGAAAAAAACTCAGGAAGTTTCTTGGTTCTGGGCCAAGCTACAAAGTTTATGAAAGTTCCAGTAGCAAATCTGTGATGGTCTATTTTTAACTTTTGCTCATCTTTTCTGTTCTATCTGCAATCACAAGCAAATATGCAAGATGCATTGGGTTAAATGCAGAGACCTTAACAGGCAAGCTCCTGCTGACTGCAGACTTAGATTGGTTGGAATAAAATCAGAAATTTCCTACCTTATTAGAAATATAAAACATGGAGAGACATCTTCCAGAAGATGTAACTGAATTTTTTAAGGGTTTGTTTCCCTTAACTGTTTTCACTGCCCAGATGGGTATTGTTACAGTTGCAGTTGAACTTTATAGAAATTACTTCCCACAAGCCCGCATTTGCAAAGTTTCTCTGTCGGTTAGGGTGGTCTGCTTGAACCAGGGGAAGCATAGAAGATTATAGGATGGAGACTCATACCTTCTTTAAATAAATGTGAACATACGGTTATTTTAGTTAAGTCTTACATTTAATATGTGAGGTTAGCACTGACCATAGACTTGCATTTGATTGACTCAAGACTTTGGCTAAATTCACATTATCAAGTAGAAGATGACAGCCATGAGGGCTACATAAAGAGCTGTCATTTCCTACAATTTCACCTGGGTTTCCCAGCTGGAAGCCTAGGAAGCTGCCTGCAAGGAGGTATTGGTTTGCTTTGATTATTTCTGTTCTTTGCTGTGGTTAGTTGTTTTGATATCATTCAGGACTTGCAAGCATTTCAAAGGTAAGATTAGAAAGAAAAAAAAAAATTAGCTGGTTGCAAAACTATGTAAAGTGATTAAATCCATGAGAGGCACAGAACCAGAGAAGCTGGAGGATGCTCTCTTCACATCCCCTTCCTGTTCAGTGTTTCTCTCATCTTGGACTATGCTGGCTGGAGGCCAAGGCTTTTCCAGTGTGGCCTTTGCCTTGGTGAACTTCCTGCCATCTGGAACCTTGCATCTGGGATCATGCTGATGGTGTGCAGCTCAGCTGAATCTACCCACTTGAGAACTCTGTCTTTGCCAGAGAATTCACTGGGCATTAAAATGTTTTGGTTTTTTCCCCCAGCATTGCCATATTAGAAGCTTCTTTTCTCAAGATTTATTGGTACAGCAGAATCAATCACTCCTAGAGAGCAGGTGTAGATGGGGTACAGGTGTAATGTTTGATAGGGAGCAGGTCTGATATGTGAAAATGTACGTTAAAATATGCATTAAATGCCGTGTAATCCCAAGGTGTCTTATTAGCAGAGAAGTGCAGGTAAATAGCAGCCAGTGAGGTGTCCAAGCTCCACTGAAGGACTGAAGTGGAAGTGTGTGACTTCACCCTTATGGACCTACTTGTAACACTGTCTGGTGGAAGTAAAAATATTAAGGGGCAACCTTCAAAAGAACAGGTCTGAAGGGATTTGCAAACATGGTTCATATTCTCACTCAGGTAGCTGCCTCTTTCTGAATTATTCTTTCATCTCCTTGACCTCTCAGGGAAGTCCAAGTGCCCAACACAGAAATGTAAAGTATGTTAATCTGTACTAAATGTGCATCACAGCTAATTACTTGGCTAGACTTGGCTTTTTCCTGTTCTGAGTTCTCAGTAAGTTTTCAAATCACTTTTCCTTTCAGATTTCATAGGGAGTTTCCCATTAATTATAAATCCAGCAGCTGAATTATAGATCAGGTGGATTTCCAGTCCTGTAGTTCTCAGTTTCAAGAAAGTAATTTTTTTGTGTAGCTTTTTTCCTCTTAGGAAAGTCATGTTAAACTACTCTGAAACATTTTGGATTCATAACAATCAGGGGTTTTAGAGCCATCCAAGGGAATTTGTGCCTGGCCAGTAACAAAAACTCCAAAAGTGAGAAAGGAAAGCTAAATTACAGCTACCAGCCCTTCTTTCCTTGACTAAGATGTACCACATCTTTATCCAGAGACTACTTAAAAGAGACTGTAGTCATTGTTCATAGGGTGCCAGTCACAGCACTGGTAGTGCCCAGGCTCAGACCTTCCTAATGCCTCAAGTCTTACTGACTCATTGTGTCCTTAGTTTCATTTTTCCTCATGTGTGTTGTTGATAACAATTTTAAAAGAGGTATCTAACATTGTTTTTCTGCATTCACACATAATCCTCAATTCGGTGGCCTGGCTTCCAAAAGTCTCACTGGTGCAAAAACATCCCTTGTCTTGAGCAAAGGCTGTTTGCCCCTCTGCAATTTGGTTTGTTTGGGGCTATTTCTTAAGTAACTAAAGACAAATTTATCTCCCCTCATCTTTTGCTATTCTTTTTAACATCTAAAGAATATTAAGGTCTGTAGTAGTTTTCAGTGCTGGCAAGAAGGTTAAGGACTAAGACCAGGGAGTAGATCAGACAAATTTGGATTTATCTTGTAACTTTCAGGCAAAAATGGCTCATTACCTTGTACAATATTTCCTCCTTGTTCCCCTGCAAATCTTGTAATTTGTACTGTTAGAGAGATCCCATCTAGATGCTGTGAATGTGATGACAGTAGGATCAGAGGATGTGAGTTGTGTTACATGGTCACAGTCATGTAGTGGGAATGCTGCTGCTGAGCCCAGTGGAGCCTTTGCAGCCCTTTTCCCTCCTCTCTAGCTGTGCCCCCTGCACAGCCATCTCTGCTGCTCTGCCAGCATGAAAGCTTCTGGGGCTGCATTGTACACTGAGGCAGGGATCTGATCTGTCTGGAGAATAACTCAAAAAAAAAGGGTTGTTTTTTCACTCACATGTGCTGTTTGAGAGAATTTGTCATCCAGGAAAATTTGTTGAGACAAACCAGAATAAGAGAGTGCAAGGGCAAGGATGAGACAGGGACATCCTAAGGCATCACTGTCACCACAAGTCATTTGTGGAAAAGTGCTCTACTGAATCAGAGCCAGGAGTTTCACACCTGTCAGAGTAAAGAAAAACCTAACAACCCTCCATGTGCTTACTAATCCTGTCTCTCTATGTGTATAATGTTGCCTGGCACACCAGGCACAACAGAGATGTAAAGCTCAGCACTGGGATTGTGTAATGTACCCAAGCTTAACTTTGAACCAAGTGATTTTTTTTTCTCCTTTCAGATACATTTGTAATTGTTAAGGCTGGCAGAGCTCCAGATGTTTGTAAAGCCAGGAGTTAAAGGACAACCCTTTAATCACAAGGAAAATGTTTACTAAATTAATATAAAAGTGTTAGTACTGGTAAAATTAGCCCATTGAGTGAGTGCTTGTTCATGCAATTAAACATATCAGGCATGGCAAAATTTAACTCCTGGTGTGGATTTTTTTTTTCTTTTACATTTTGACAGTTTACATTTTTGACCCAAAGTTGACTCAGCTTCTAGCTCCATTAAAAGGATGTTTTCAAACCAGGCCCCAAAGAGTAGCCAAAATATAAGTGAAAAGGATGTGACTCTACATGCTGTGGTAGCAGTTTTGTGGCTTATATTTCTGAATTGAAGATGCAAAAAACCCAACATTGACCTGAGTATTTGGTTTGTAGGCAAAGTGAAGGGACAGAGCTACCCATTATTTCTTTCCAGTCACTTCAAAACCTGGGCAAAGAAGCTACAATTCTCCACAAATGAGAGAGTCATCTATTGAGTTACGTGGTGAAGATATCTCTTGGACCATGAAAATTTGTAGTTTCAAAATATTTCCTTTTCTATCTACCGAAAAAAAAAAGGTTATCAATGTAACTTGTCACACAGACATCACAGTGCATGTGTGTTTGTGCAACAGTGCTATTTGAAAAGGCATTTCATTTAGGAAACAAAATAAATTGCAAAACATCTTATTTAACCTGCTACTTATCAGTTATGTGAGATGATGCCTAAAATACTTTTCTAGTGTCTATGCTTATATGCTTTGCACCTGGTCTGTTTGCTTCTGCCATGTTATAGCAAGGTTCCTCCTTTTACCTTTACAAGTGTGAAGAAAGCAAAACCTAGAGAGGGCAGGGCACTGTGCCTGTGGACAGCTAGCAGCTAACATCTGAGGGAGGAGGAACACAAATGGTATTTGGGTGCCTAAGCAGGTGGGCACACTGGTAAATGCCTGCTTGCCAGCTGTGCTCTTGAATGGCTTCCCTGTAAAGTCTCAAATTACTTTGAACTCATTTTCCCCAGTGTTTATTTTTATGCTGGTCAGGGCATTTGTAGTCATCTGCATGGTAATGTCAGAGACAACTATTTCTTTACCTTTTATTTGATTTTGCTCCCAAAGGCACAGCTAAAGGCAGCCCAGACTTGCCTTTTTTGAATATACTTTCCCAGCCTTTTAGATTAAACCTGGAGAGGTACAAGCCAAGACAGAGGTTTAAGATGATCTAGATTGTGTGTTTTGCCCTATAACCAAGGGACAAGGCCCCACTGCTTTTTAGCTTCTTTCTGTAAATGGAGATTTAGATTCTGGAAGATAGAGATTCTTCACATTAGATTAAATTTGCTGAATTTTCAATGCATTGTCCATGTCCATTTCAATGTATTGTCCATGTCTAGATCACTGATGATATTAAAGGTACATCTTTAAGTGCAAATCATCTTCAGCGCTTCATTTTATCTGTCATGGATTAATATTTGTTTTTCTATTCACTGTGGGATATTTAATCTGTGCAATTGACTGAACCTGCTTTGAGTTTGATTTTTTTTTTTCTATTTCAGTGCTTTTGTATGTGAGGAAGGAGACAGATGAGGTGTTTGATGCTTTGATGCTGAAATCACCCACAGTAAAGGGGCTAATGGAAGCTGTAAGTATCCAATATCCTCATATTGTCTTTCTTGGCAAGAAAATCTTGAGGCTTTCCATGTATTATTGAGATAAACCATAATATAAAGATGAAGTTATTCTCAAATGCATTTAAAGCATTTCTTAAAGGCTTTCTGGAGCACAGTTCTGAAATGCTATCATTTTCCTAATTCAGTGTTGTCAGCTAGTTTATGGGGTTTAAACAGCATCTCAGAACTAATTATTGGAGACTTGAACTTTGAGGAATAGCACTAGTTAACCAGTGTCAGGGAAAGACAGAGGTGCAACCTTCATTTTCTGAAACTTTCTGAACAGATAGTTCAGAGCCTGTTGAATCCTTTCCTGTAAAGCTTGTCAGTACATTCCCAGCCTGGTTTCCAAGAAGGGGCCCAAGGATGCTCTGTTTCTGTGGGAATTTCATATGGCCTTTGTGCAATTGCTGTTGAGCATGTAGGAGGCAGGTGCTGAGCCAGTGCAGACTTGTCATTCATATGTTGTCTCAAATTCCTTCTCTAGTCCTCGCTTACAGCATGACCTACCTACCAGTTGCCTCTTTGCTCATTCTTTGAGTTTTTGCTTTTTATCCTTTAGCTGTCATCATAAGAGTTGCTATTTCTGTGTTTAATCCTCTTTATATGAGCTGATGGCTCATGAAATTTGGTAAGGGAAGAGTTAAGAAATAATCACGTGTTTCACTGCTTCAGTGGAGGAATGCGAGATTGACATGTGGGATGCTGAGTTGATTTCCAGCCTTGTTTACTTGTAGGGGAGAAGACGGGAATGGATGGAAGTGCCCCTAGAGAACTCAGCCAAGTGCTAGAAGTGTGTATATTTATGCTCTCTGAAAACTGTCACAGTATCTTGTTGCATTTACTGAACACTTTTAATGCAGTAAAGATTGAATTATTTGGTCAATATTTGGCCAGTAGCAGAAGGCAGAAAAAGATTTGTGGGTTAGTGAACTTGCTTAAAGCACCTCTTTAGATGAGGGTATCTCTGAGAATAGTCGGTGGCACACTAAGGATGTCCTAACTGTGCTTCTGCCAATGCTGTTTGTTAGCTGTGACTGCAGCTCAGCTGTCAGGCAGAGCACATGGGTAACAAAAACCAGGCTCTACTTGAAGAGGCAGCAGCAGATTGATTCATGGTAAGCTGCAACATGATTTCATCTTGTCTTTGTATGGAAGGTAAAAGAATGTTATAATCCTTCTATAACTGTTCAAACTAGCATGAATATTTTTTCTCCAGTAGTCTGTGCCTCTCCATGCCTGTTCTCCAGCCACCATGTAACAAAAACAAAGCTGGTGCAGAAGCAGGAAGGGTTTCTGCATACCTCAGTCAGTGCAGCTGCTGACTCACTGGCATGTTTTCGGCACTAGAGAAATCTGATCTGTTGTAAAATGTCTCAGTTCACTGGAAGGAACACATTCAGAAAATTTTAATTCTCTTTGGTAGGATATTGTGGGTAAAACAATGCCAAAAAGCTGTCAAACTGCATATTCTTAAATATTCTCTCTACAGTCATTGCAGCAAATCATGTAATTTTGTAATTGTGTGTATCTTAAATGCTTCATTCTGTTCTCAGTATTAAGAACTTAGGAACTGAGCCTCTGAGTATTACAGAACCCCACATCTTAAAGGGAGCTCCAGTGATCCTCAGTCATACTCTCCTTCTTTGTTTATGGATTTTAATCTTTTCTTTTTGTTAGTTACTATTCCAGATCTTTGACTTTTCCCCTAACTTTCTGTTATTAATGATATGCTTTTCTCAGATCCTGTGTTTATTTTGTTCTCATATATATCCTTATTCCAAATTAACAATTAGATTACTTTTCAGATATCTTCCTTTTGGCAAATATCTAGAGGTTTTGGGTTTCAGAAATGCAGCACTTCTCAGGAAGCAACTTAGATGTTTGGTTTTCACTAATCAGTCTTGATCAAGGGAAAATATAAAACATCACACATGTGGTGACTGACCAGCTCTACACCCTGATTTCAGCCTGAGCCAAAGTCAGGATAACTGTGGATCCCAGTAGGTACCTCAGTCTTACATTGTGCAAAATTACATATTTATTCAAATTACAGAAGGCAGTTCAAATTGGGAAATTCAGGCATTTCCCAAAGTCTTTCAATAATTTAAAGCTAACATCTGAGTTCAATAGAGCTAGGTAGGCTGTTAGGTACCTGTCTATATATGTGATCTTCCAGCTAGTGTAGGACAACAGACTAGACCATTTAATAGAAATAAGCTGGCAAAGGTGTTTTCCTACATGCCTGGACACACCCAGATATTGCCCTTTCTGGTTTCCTGACTCCAGCAGAGAGCATTTCTGGTGGCTTGTGCAATCAGACAAACTTACCGTGCCAGGGGACTGCAGCCCAAAGGGACACCCAGACAACTATTTCAGTGCCACTTGGAAGGCTGTCACACTGCTTCAGGCATCCTAAGAGAAAGAAATCTCTTCTCAGAAGATTGACAAATGGACAATGGAGGTGATAAGGAAAAATATTCCTCCAAATAGAGACACCTTTTTAAAATTTATTGTAGCCTGCTTGGGTTCAGGTGAGAAATCCTGTCATTCTGAATGGAAGTTGGCAGTAAGTGGTGGTCCCCTGTGCTGGCAGCAAACTCTCAGAGAAGAGGGTGTTAAGTGAGATGCCCTAGCAGATGCTCGCTCTATGCTTTCTCCAATTCTGCAGCAGGACTTAGTGCATTTGTACTGGAGACTATGAGGGGGAGGCTCTCCCATACCCCCACTTTAAGTCTTGCTTCCACAGCTTGCTGTTTGGTATAATTGATTGAATCCCAGGGGTTCCTGAGAAATGTGCTTATTCAGTCAGCTGGAAGTCTTTTGCAAAGCTCACTAATCCCTGCAAGTTATATAAATCCTACACCTGTCATAGGCAGTGTGACAGGCAAGGCTTTCTCAGCCTAACCTCTCATAGTTTATGTAGGAAGTGATGTCCCAGAGTCCCAAAACACTTTGAGCAACATTTGGAATGCATGAGTGTTAGGCATGCCAAATATCCTAGGGAAGATTTATGCTGGAATGTGCAGAATGCTGTATATTAGCTGCTATTAAGCCTCCTTGGCAAGAAATGTTTTGCTCAGCTTGTGTATTTGCATGGAGTCAGTGAAAAGTGTCTTCAAGTGCTGATCTTTACAATATCACTGGGCTTCAGAGTTAACAACCCAGAGAAGGAGATTGTTTCCTCATATTCACACACACTTGTGACACTTTCTGCAGTTTTGGGTTACCAGTTTTTCTCCAATGCCTGTTACAAAGGATTTTTTCAACTGTCTGATGAAATTGAGCCATTTTTATTATTGCTTTACATGAAAACTTAAAGTTAAGGGTACAACAGAAATACAGATAAAAAATTCAACACCAGATTGTTTATCTGATGTCATTCTGTTCATGATAAGCAAAGCCAGAGGATAATAAAGAGTGAAAGAACAGTGAAGCATGCTGGTGCAAGCGAAACTGAAGTAGCAAATACCAGCTGAATTTAGCTTTTTAGGTGAAAAACTTGGGGAGTGGCTGGGTCTATTGTACCTCATCAGTTATTCCCCTTTCTGTTAGCCACTGATGTATGCTAATAGTCAGAGAACACTGTTTTCAGTGTAAGAGAAGTTTTATTAGTTCTTCAGAATCTTGGAGTTATGCTATAGAACACCAGTCAAGCTGATACCCTTGTGCATTATTAGGGATAGTTTTTAAGTACAAAATTGCATCTGGCCTAAGATGATAATTATACTATTATAGGTGATATAGAAAAGTATGGGCTAATTAATTCTCTCTTTCAGAGAATCTTGGTTGTCTGGATGGGAGCCATGCTTGGTGTTCAACATGTAACTCTTTGAATCTGTCCTCAGTGCTGAATTTATCCGTTCCATTTTCTCTTTTGTGATAATTGCTTTAATGTACTTCCCTAAAATAACTTTTCTCAACAGAACTCTGAATACAAACACAAATAAAGGATTTTACCACGCCTGATGTTTGCCAGTCTTTAAATGGATTTTTAATTATGCATTTCAGTTCCCTAATACAGAAGTAGTCAGCTATTTAGCTGCAACTTCATTTATTTGTGAAGAGCTGGAAACTTACTTTGCTTGGCAGTAGAACACCACAGAACATTAATCACTGGGGAGAAAAAAAAGTATTTTTTCTATAACTATTTTGCCTTTTGGGACAATCCTCTTCTAAAGTGTAAACTGTGAGACCTGTTCCCTCAAAGAGAAATCATAATTTGGAAAGCAAACCTGGCTCAGATGAAGGGCCCAGGGACACCATAAGCACACCACAAAGTCACTGCAGAATAGACATCCAAAAAAGTTGCTAGTACACGGCTGCAAAGCAATGCCAAAGCATCCCAATGAAGTACTTGTTGGTATGGGTAATTTGTCAGCTAAGTAGTTCTTCCTTCTAAAGTTTTACTGTATTTTCTGCTTTATTGCTTTAGTTGCTTTAGTAAGAAGTTTATTTTACAAGTCCTTTACCTTGATAACACACTTCTCTGTGACATCTCATCTTGTTATCTATGCACTCAGATGATGTTTTGTGAGCCAAATAGTGTTTTCATTTTGCTAATGTAGTAACTAGACTTAGTTACCTTCCCAGTAATACAGAAGCCTCTTAGTTCCAGTAAGAGTTCTTAGTAAGAGGCCCTCAGCCCTCCTACAATAACAGGTACCTTGAAGATACTTTTCAGACAAAAGTACCACCATGGAGAATCCTGTTAGCTTAATAAACTTTGAAATCTCTTTGAGAAATAGAAATGTGTATGGTTTTGTTTTTCCATTGGTCAGTCAGCTCCTGTTGGTTTGCCATGTGTCTGCCTTCTGCCTGGTGGGAGAAGCCTATGCTCCCATGAGCCCAAAAAATCAAATTAAGAAAAAACAGAAAGATCAGATTTCAATTCCCTAGTAAAATCTGAAGCTGGGAAGAGCATTGACTCCTTGAACAGAGCACTAGGAGATGCTGGGGCAGTTCTGATGACTCACACCCTATAAAAACTATAGTATCTGAGTTTCTGGATGGAGACAATTGTGGGTTTTGATTAAGCGGTTCAGGATTCTTGCTCCCCAAGTCATCCTTAAATGAAAGCATGATATGGTTGTGTCAGACTTTTCTGTATAGCTACCCTGTCAAAGTTTGCAGAGATTTGTTTTCATGTCTTATGTAAGGTAAGATTTTTTATAGTTCTTATTCATCTTTAGTGATATTTCTTTTATTTTTATTGTTTCAGATTTCTGAGAAATATGGGCTACCAGTTGAAAAGATTGCAAAGCTTTATAAGAAGAGTAAAAAGGGGTAAGTTAGTTACATAACTAAGGATCTTAGAAGTACTCAGAGATCTCAGTTATACTTGGGGCCTCATGATGCTGCACATGGGCAGCACAAACTCTTTCAGGAGATATACCCGTGTGCTTGAAATCTTCATGTCTATGGAGACTCTAAGGGATGGCAGAAGAAGAAACATGGATCTCCAAACTGTGTCTGACCAGTATTCATAAACTTAGTGTGAAGGAAGGGTTTGTGGATAAGACATGTGGATAAAGTCTGTTTTGTAGACAATGTGCTTAATAACATCGTGGAGGGCCAGTATGGGAGCTGCTGCCTTTGCTGTGGATGCAGTGTGGAGTTTTCCTGCAGTATTAGCAGGAAGTAGGCCACTGTCTTGCTCTGAAAGACAGGCAGGCAATGTTTGCTGCAGGGGTTTCAGCCAAATAAATTTAGACATGAACATTGCAGCTGGACTTTTAGAATAGCTAGGCTTCTGCTCCTTGCCGTAAAACTACATCTCTTCACTTCAACTGTTTTTTAAAGTTCTATTTAACCACAAGATTGTAGCAATATAATTTTGAACCAGTCATTTATTTTCAGCTGTAACTAGCTTAGAGCATTGTTGTCTGGAGATTTCTTTAGCTTTTGAGAAGACAGGTGAAACGCCTCATGTTTTGCTTCTTTCTAAGTGACAGAAGAAACACTTGGAGGTAAAGAGCGAGGAAAACTCTCATACACACTTGTAATAGTCATTGTTGATAATTTCACATCCAGGCTGAGTTCTAAGTCTGTGAGCTGTGTGCAAAGCACAAATTACACTGCTTCCCTGTGTTAGCAGCTCACATGATGTGCCTGAGGAAGTAGCATGGATGTGTCCCTGTGGGGGCCACCACCAGGCATGGGAAGCATCAGCTAGCTGGGTCTGACAGGGATGTGAAGTGCAGCTCATCTGTGGGTAGCCTAAGTGTGTTAACAGCCCTGGTGTGTCCCTTAACTGCTCTGGCAAGGAGCAGCCTCTAATCTGAAGACTATAAGAGACTGAGGGGCAGATCTTGATGATAATTCCTACTAGAGAGCCTGTACTGGCATGTGCTGGAGTCTGGTTTTGTGTTGTAGAGAAGCAAGTACATGTGGCAGAGTGTATAACTTTTCCTTTCAGTGTTCTGGTACATAAAAACATTGATTTCTGCCTTTGTCACCAGCATCCTGGTAAACATGGATGACAACATTATTGAGCACTACTCCAATGAGGACACATTCATCCTGAACATGGAGAGCATGGTTGAAGGCTTCAAGATCACACTGACAGAGATCTAGCCTCAGGCAGAGCCTTTTTGTAAGGAACCACAGCATTTCATCCTTCTTGGAAAGCAGATTTCCCATTTACTTGACAGACATTGATCAGAGAAACTGTTACACGACTGCATTGAAAACTGTCCATTCTGCACAAGTGCACCCACTGCAGATAGACTTGGGTTTGTCAAGCACAAGGCCATTCACGTTAACCTGGTCCCTTATTTATTGTTCCTCACTCTTTAGTGTACAAGCAGTTACCAGCCCCAGATTTGTAACCAGATGATCCACTGCAAATGTGAAATGCAGCATTTTAATCCACACTTCAGTGTGGATAAGCTCATTCTAAAACACATTCAGTAACTATGCTGGTCTAATTTCAGAAATCTGGTATAAATCACTTTACCAGTAGTTGCCTCTGTCATTGCTAAAAATCTGTTGCAGTGCTAAAAATGGGCAAAGTGGCTTACAGTTCACTTGCTCATACTGATCTATATCTCTATATTGTATAGTCTTGCCAAATACCTCTGGTAGTTCTCAGCACGTAGCAATGAGGACTTGTAAGTAAAGCATTCAGCTACAACTGTCACTTGTAAGTAAATGGAAAAGAAACCATTTTAACCTTGTATATAATGTTTATAATATGCAATAATATATTTTAACTACTGTATGTGGGCATATTTACTGCCACTATGTTTTTGTATGTATTTGGTTTAGGGTTTAATAGAATCTTTCCTAGAGGATTAAATTGCTACAATCTATTAAGGAGTGTGTACTGAGAAGCTGATAATTGAATCTGTACTCATATGCTCCATCCTTGCTCACACAATTGTATATTAAAATATTAGAGCAGGCTCAGGCTCTCTCATGGGTCTTGGATGATCTGGCACAATGGGGCAAGTCCCAGCTGTAGGTACCCAAGTCTTCCATCCAGCTGTAACAGAATCCAAGAGACACCACATGTCTGCTGCCTGGTTTGCCAAGAGGTACAGAAGGGACTTCTTCCTGGTCGTCTTCCTTTAATGAAGCAGAGACTCCTAAAGTGGTCTTTTCTCAAACCTGTAGTGGAAAGGTTACTTCTGCAGCAGCCTGTGTGTCAAAGCCTTCCTCTAGACTGTAAGAAACAGGACTTCAAACTCTTCCTTCTAAGTATATTTGCTCTTGTATTTCCATTGAATGATTCTGTTGTGATTCCTAGGACACTTGGGTGATGTATAAGCCTGGGCTTGATGTAAATATTTTATCAAAGCTGGAATAATTTTTCCACTGGAGACGGAGTATCCCACGACGAGGAGTGGAGATTGGTCTCTCTCAAGGGCTGCAGCTGAACCCAAGTTGAAGTACATGGTTATTCCATCAAATTCCACACCTGCCTTGTGAACTCTGTGAAGAGATAAAAGTTGTGCAGGCTGAAATTGTACCAGGAAAGGGATTCAAGGGCTGAATGTCCCTATGACTTCCAAACCCCCCCATCTCTCTCTCTCCATTCCAGCTCCTCTGACTGTTGTAATGAGCTCCTCACTTAGCACCTAATTCCATGAGTTTCAGTTGCATTTTATTCTCTATGCAATGTACATGGATCCTGTGTGACAAACAGAAGTGCGGGTCCTTCCCTACATGCAGCCTTTAAAGTTTATTATTTTCCTTCTAAAACTTTTTCTCATTTAGTCACACAACCTTTATTATTTGGTGGTTAATGGCAGAGAGAAACACTGCCATGTTTAACAGGGCTCATGTAGTGTTTTGAGCTGTGTGGAGCTATTTACATTCAAGCAAAGTAGCTGGGATAACTGATCAGTCTGATTTGGCCATATCTGCATGAATTGTCCTGTAAGTTCATGCACACTTTATCTTCATTAGCAGTAGCATCCCATTAAAATCTCTTCCTTTAATAGAAATGTTAAGTACATGTAAAAGTTTCTGTGGGACCAGAAACTGTTAAAGGTTCAGGCTGGTAGCAACAGCACTAACATACCCAGAATTCACATATGCCTGTAAAGCAAAGTATGTATTCTCTGTTTCTCCTGCCCTTTTCTTTTGTCTTGCACTTTTTCCCCTTCTGATGCAGAATTCTGTTGTAATTTCCTTAATTTTATATAAAAATGCACTCCAGCAAAGATGCTTTTGCTACCCTGCTCAAGAGTAAACAATATGGGAATATAAGAGATTTATGATGATTCAGTTTGTTTCTGTTTGGCTCAGACTGACATAAAAAGTCTATGCTGACTTATCCCAGATACTTTTTAATTAGAGAAAAAAAGAGGACAGTTTGGACAGGAGGCATTAGGAACTGGGTTCAGCACACAGGACTGGTGAGCAATATACTGTTAGTTTTTGTATTTCTCTGTTGATATCTGTAATCCTCAGACTATCATCTGGGATCTCTCAGCTGGTCAAGATGTCTGGGCAGAAGCTGCAGGTGAAGCAAAGGAGTAATTGTATGCAGGAGTTGAGCCCTAGTTCTGCCCTCAACAAACCTGCTGTCCAAGGGAATACCTGGGGCTGGCCTGGGTTGGAATGTGCTGCATTAAGAAAAGCCAGTAGAGAATTTAGAGTTCACAGAGAAGGACAGGTAGTCCTGGCAGCACCAGCACTCAGGTTAATGGGATGGTTTTGTCTTACTTTTGGGTCGAGATGAGCTGAGATTGGGTGCTCCAGCATCCTGTGATGAGGAACAGTGCAGGATCAGTGAGAAGTGTAGAGCTCCAGAAATACTGGGCCTTCAGGACCTTTCTTTCCATTGTCATTTTAGGAGCTTTCAGTCTGCCACTTGTCCAGAAAAGGAAAGTTGCTTCCAAGATTAACTGAAAGCTATTCTAAATACATCTTAAAGTGTGCAAATTCCTGATAGAAAGCTAATACTTTTGCCTTTAGCTCCTTCTTAGAGTCTCAATGAAGTTATCAGGAACGTGACTACATTGGTGGTAAGATTATTTTAAAGCAGCTAGAGCTAGGTAAGGATGATCACCCTTAGCTTTATCTGCCAAGGTCTGAGGGCTTTGTTTTCTGCTCCAGATACAGGTGCATCACAAGCACTAAGACTGAGTATCCATGCTGCACCCCTTCAGTTGTAGTTACAGCATCAGCTGCTGGAGGAGCCCTGAACCTTGGATGCTGGTTGTGGCAGGCTGCAAGCTCTCAGGGTTCACCTTGTTGGTCCCAATCAGTCCATCAGAGTGCTGGGAAAGGGGCAGGAGTGGTATGAGTAATGCAAACTTCTGAAGCAGTGGCTGCCTTGTGCCCTGCTTGACTCAGATATCCTGAGGAGTACACAGTGCTTACATGTATATTGTTTAAAATATGCATGTTGCTTTTGTTTGATAAAAAATATTGATTAATGCTGGACATTCCAAATATTATGAATTAAATGGAAGTAAGATTTGGCTACTGTTCAGTACGAGACAGGAATATCTGCCTTGCCTCCTTTTGTTTCTTTGTGGCACTGCTGTGGTTGTTTATTTAAAGGAACAAAATTCTCATTTCCTTCTCTTCTTCAAGATAGCAATCTTGAATCTTAACTAGTTGCAGCCTGAAGAGTGGCTTGCTGTTCAGTGCATTTTCCCTATGAAGAGCTATAGCAGTACTGTCTGTAGATGTTACATTTTGAAAGTCTCTAGATAGAAATGTACAAAAGGAGAACAGTCTTCTAATTTTGGTTCCTGCTGCGGATTTGGCACTTCATCCGTCCACTTGATGTTTTATTATGAAATCCTATTCAAATTCTCAAATTCTAGTTCTTTCTTACAGTCACGTGCTGATATTCCCAAAATACAGTGCATCCCTTGAGTGAAGCTTTGTGGATGTACTATGATAACCCCATCAAGACATTTTGGAGGATTTTTAACACTGAGTGTAAACTACAAAGAAAAGAATGTTTTTTTCATGTGTGTCCTCTCTCACAAAGTTTTTGGTCAATGGAATTCAGAGATCGAATGTCTTTCTTATATATTTTTCTCTTTCATTCTATGAATTGTTTAAATGTAAATTAATTCAAACAATTAGTAAAATCTAAACTCTCTAGCTGTCATCAGAGATGCTTGTATATTGATTTAAGTGGAACTGGAAAGGAGTATCTTATGACTTATAAAATGTAAAGCTTATTAAATGTTTATATGCTCTTCCATTTCCTATTAATTGAGACAGATACAAACAAGAATGTTTGTGCCAAAGATTGTGACAAGCCGTCTTTCTGGCAAACAAGGAAACTTAATGTATAGTGTGCTTTTATATTAAGAATATAGCTCATGTAACTTAATAGTGTTGCAACTGGGAGAGGGGTTTGATAAGCTGTAAATACAGTTATTTTATTTTTTGTACATTTTTAAGAAGGAAAAAAATAAATATTCCTATGTATGAGATAATATTTCTGGTGCTGTGGTGTGTATTACTACATCTCTCCAGGAGAGAGAGAGAGAATCACTATGTACCAGTACCTGAAGGGGGTGCAGAGAGGATGGAGTCAGGGTCTTCTAAATGGTGCCCAGAGACAGGACCAGAGGCAAGTGGATACACACTAAAACACAGGAGGTTCCCACTGAAATCAGGGAGTAGGTTGCCCAGAGAGGTTGTGGAGTCTCTCTCCCTGTAGATATTTAAAGGCTGCCTTGACATGGTCCTGAACAACCAACTCTCATTTGCCCTACTTGAGCAGGGGGATTGGATCAGATGAACCACAGAAATCCCTTCCAACCCCAGCTATTCTGTGATTCTGTGACTTGTTGGAGTGTCCTGGGAACCTGGCTGGAAGCACTGACACTGACATCTTTGTGGCTCCTGGGCACCTGAGTTGAGATCCTTACCCACATCTACTCCCAAAGCACTGAAGCATACCTGGCCACATAGCTTGCAGTAAAACATTTTCACCAAACATTTTATTCTCCACCAGCTGAGTTTGACTTTTCAAACAAGATTCGGGAGGTCAGAACATCTTAGTAGGTGGGAAATTGTTTGGGATAGCATTTGCCTCAGGAAAGGTTGATTCCCCAATCAGTAGCAGGACAGTGGGGTGGAGGAGTTCAGTGCTCTGGATGAGCAGTGCAGGGTGAGCCAGGATCAGCTCCCATGGAGCCCTTTAAGGTAACCACATTTCCTGGGCACTGCCTGTGATAGATGTTAAATTATGTTTTACAGGAGGTGGTTTTACTGAGTGGCTCCTAAAATGCAAGTGCTTTAGAGCTGCATGGTTGGCAGTGCTCCATCTGCGAGGCCATGGAGCGGTGAGGAGAAGTGTGTTGGCTGATGGGAGCCACTGCAACCACTGCACGCTCAAGGCTTGGACTGTGGCGTGGCTGAGCCAGGCTTTAGCAAGGTGACTCAGCTCACCTTGATTAAAGGTCATTAAGAAGAACTGACCCCTTTTTAGGAGCAGGAAGCAAAACACTC